GGGGGGGGGGGGGGGGGGGAGTCTGCTAACTTACTGGGTACCGGCGCAGTAAAGCTATCGAAACCACAGACTTTATAATCGATACACAAAGTGTAAACTTACGACGGGTTATTATTATTGTTATTATTATTATTATCGACGCGTTGACCGCGCGCATAAATTCATCTTCCTCTTTTCTCTTCTTCTCTTACGACGAACAACGACGTTCGTAGAGCGAACTGCCGTGTATCAAAAATAGAGAGCGAAACGACGATTCGAGCGGTGTATATAACCGTATAAAAATGTATATATGTATGTGTGTGTGTGTATATATATATATATATATACACACATATGTATATACACATCCATATATATATACACATTCGAGCACTGCCGCGGGTTTTCGATCTCACGAAATTACACTATGCGTGCGCGAAAACGCGCTGTTAACGAATTGACGAGAATGGGAGACGCGGAGGGTGGAAGGAAGGGAGGAAGATATCCTAGGAAAATACGAGGAACGAAACATTTGGACACACGTGGCGCTCAGCTACGCGATAGCTCAATTTGCCGAGCAGCTCAACGCACAACGAAGCACAGCGTCTCGCGGGACGCTCGGGTCTCTTTGGTGACGTTACATTTGGTATTCTTGCATGTCCAGAAAGAAGAAGCCACACTTTTTCTTTCCTGTATCAATGTCAATCGAATGCAAGACTATCCAACATCATCACCTGTGATAGGCGACTCGCACCGGTTCACGGTATAAAAAAGTTGAAATCGCTCTGGGACGCGCGTCTCCGTTCTCTCGAGGGTGACAGTCTCTCGTGGCGCGCGAACCGAGGCTGCCCTCGGCCGCGTTTGTCTACGATTATGTCACCTTCTATTTGTTACTCAATTAGCGAGAGAGAGAGAAGGGGCTCGATCATGAATCTCCTCCTCCGGCGTGAACTTGTGAAAAAATGTGTGAATTTTCTGACTCGAGAGCATTTAGAATTTTCATGTTTCCATCCTAGGGGAAGATTACACCAACAACAACTCAATTAGCCGCGTGCTGTATGTAGAAATCGTCGTGTGTGTGTGTGTGTGTGTGTGTGTGTGTGTGTGTGTGTGTGTGTNTGTGTGTGTGTGTGTGTGTGTGTGTGTGCCGGGAAGAACAGACTATCAACATCAAGAAGCGCGTACGCATGTGTGTATATAATAATATTAGACAGCTAATTCCAAAATATATAACACGAATAAATACAGTAAATTATATTAAGAGACATTTGACACAGATATATATATATATATATATATATCTGTGTGCATATATATATATATATATATATATCTGTGTGCATATATATATATATATAAAACGTAGCGCGTCCGCGCGTATAATAGTTTTATACTTTGGCGTTCTCCGTTTGCATCGTAGTTTCTATACGAGGGTCCACAAGAACTCTAAGACAAGAAATGACGTTAAAGAGCGCGATCAAAATGGATACAAATTGCGTACAGAACTTAATGTGCCTGTATGATGTTCTAAGGGAGGGTTAAAGCTACATGAAATAAGAAGTATTGCGTCCATCGAGAAGAACGTGTGCGTGTGACGCACCGATACGGGGGAAAAGAAAGAAGAAAGAAACGAGGGAGAAGGAGGGAGAGAGATAGAGAAGAAAACAACAGGACACGCGAGTTTACGGAAATAGCTTGCGAGGACAGCAGATGAAGTGCGACGTCACAGTATCCAGTTGTTCAGTCTTATATCGGAACCTAGATCTAATTACCAATTCGGAGCTCTCTCGAAGGCCGATGAAGGCGTTTTGCGCGATCCGATCGATCGGGGAGAAACGATTAGATGTACAGAGACTAGCGACGGACTTTTGTCCTCCTGTGCTCTTTCCCCTTTGCAAATTCTTCTGAACCGGCTCACAGTGGGGCGAGACAGCAAAGTTTCCGGCCGAAACCTAAATATTGCCAGATTCGGAGTTGTGAAAAACGGTTGGCGTATTTAAATAGTTTAAGTTTCAGAGTTCTCTCCTATTTAATTGAATGAAGCATTCAATTTTGAATATACCGGTTTTTAAGAAGCAATTCTTCTTCTTTTTCCATACATATCTACAAAGTGACCTATTTGAGACAGGCACCGAAAAAAAATCATTCATTATTTCTATAAATCTCTAATGACTATCGCAGATCTGAATTCAGTGTGTCAGGATCTTTCGCAGACACGCGGTCATCCTTGAGAATCGATTTCTCGAGCTTCGACCAGAAATTCGAGCGCTCTGCTCTCCCACTGTGCTCCCACTCTCCTCTCTTTTCGTGTATATATGTAAAAAAAAAAAAAAAAAAAAAAAAAACGGNTCCGTGAGAGCAAGATTCGTGGAGATCGCGCGAACGCGCGAGAAAGGCACTTCCACACGAGGAGAGAGCGACGAGCGATCGTCCCACCTCGTCGTTCACGGCCGTAGAAACGCGCTGTGAAACGCGGTGAGACGCGGGGAGGACACACACACATACACACGACTCCTTCCTTTCCCTCACACCCTTTTCTCTCGGGAGTTACTTTGGTAATGACTAGGTCATACACTATCGCTACGTTAATTACAAATCCGTGGCTCGCGCTGTGGCCCGCGGGATCCGCTCCGTCGTGTTACGGCCCCGTTTTCCTGGGCTACTCGCGGGACGCGTGCGCGCTACGTGGGCGCGAGAGCAGGCCGGCTCTTCAGAACTGGATGCGGTAGTTGGGGCGCGGTATCGACCGCGCCTTCACCGGCGGCAAGGAGGCGGTGGAGGCCTCGCTGCTGGCGGTGCCGCCGGAGTCGCGGGCGCTCTTGCTACTGACCGTGCTGCCGGTGCTCTGGGCGCGCGAGGAGCCACCGGCCTGGCCGGCTTTCCTCAGGGTGCCGGCCTTAACCGCGGACGACGAGGACGGGGAGTCGCCGTCGCTCAGCCGGCCGTACTCGCCGATGCGACGCGACGGCGGCGGGATGAACGAGCGGCTCTGGATCTCCCGGTGCTTGACCATCTCGGCGTTGCCGGCGATCGCCGACTTCTTGCGGCCCGTGATCGCGCCGTTGTCCGACTGAAGCCTCTCGTACTCGCCGCCTCCACCGCTCGCTGCCGCCGCCACCGTCGTCGTCGCCGTGTTGGTCGTCGTGCTCGCGGCTGAGGATTTCTTCAAGGAGTTGTTCGTCACGAAACTCTCCACCACGCCGGGCGTCGACTTCTTCTTGCGCGAGGCCTTCGCGTCGAACCGGCCGTACTCGATGCTGCTGCAGTTGGTGGGGTCGCGCGCCGCCTTAGCACCGCCGGCGCTCGTGGTCGCCGTCGTCATGCCGACCCCAGCCGACGAGGAGTCCAGACTCACCGGCCCCGGGTCGGACTTCTTGCGCGTCTCCGTGTCGCTGAGACGGCAGTAGCGCGAGTTCGCCGTCGACTTGAGCGTCCGCGGTGGCCGCGGCAGCGAGCTCGGCGGCAGGCTGCCGGCGCGGCGCGGCTCGCCCTCCTGCATCCGCTGCCGCTGCGAGCTCCTGCCCTGCTTCTCCAGCAGCATCATGTCCTCGCCCGCCTGCTTGCCGTCCGACAGCCTCGTGATCGTGCCCTTCAGCCTGGCCGCCGCGCTGGCCAGCTCGATTATGCTCGGCGAGACGGCCGCGTGCTCGGCGCCGGACGAGTCGTCCAACAGTCGGCTCTTGCTCGAGGCGGTGCTCGAGGTACCTGTGCTATCTACACCCGCCAGTAGTGGCTTGGGGATTTTTCCTTTTCGCGACGCAGTGCCTGGATTAGAGAATCCTGGAAAACAGCAAAGTGCCCGCTGAAACAAGAGAACAGAACGTACGGGTTGGCAAGAGAGGAGAGGCCGGGACCTGGAAAAGGGGTTAGTGCTCGCCGTGAAAAAACCAGCACATGCACATTCGGGAACACTTAGGATCGGCGGGAGGGGGGATTAGTTCTCTCGGTGGTCTTTGGAAAGAGAGAGAGAAAGAGAGATTAGAGAGAGAAAAAAAATCAGAGATATGGATTAAGTAAAACGTGAGATCTATTTTGTTATCTACTCTCCGTCCTCCGTCTTGACAAAACGAGTGGCACACACACAAACATCGCTCTGGGAGAATCGAGACATTATGTGAGAAGAGGTAGAGAAAAAAAAAAGAGAGACATTTATGGCACACACGCTTGTGTAAAATACGCGTCACTAAAACTAAAACGTAATTTTCGACGAACGAACGAAAGGAGGAACAAAAAAAATAGATGAAATTAATTAATTAAGCTATGTTAAGAATCACACACAAAATATGTTATGTAACTAAACGTTAATCGAGTAACTCCAAATCGAGGAATGGTCGGCGCGCGACGACGTCCCGGTTTCTTCGTTCGGTTAGCAAGGACGGATTTCCATCCCGAGATTCCTTCGGACGCGCGCGCGCACCGACCACTCTCATGACAGGCTTCCAAAAGGTACTCCAGTCATATAACACCAACACAAGAATACCTTGGAACGTGTGATCTGTAATATTTTCATGATCAGCGGCGACTATTAAAAAGATGCTAAAGAACTCAAAATACACGATCATCCGAAAATTAACGTATCTCTCTATATTGATAAGGGAAAGAAAAGATGAACATTAATGTGGGCGGCAAAAATTGAAGTCGGAGCGCACATATTAAGTATATATATACGTATATATGTAGATATATGTATATCTGTAGATAATCACATGTATCTATAGATATAGATAACAAACGGATCGGTGGTGCGCGAAGTGCCGACGAGACTCGATGAGACGTGACGATGCATTCGATCTTAAATTAAACGACATGTGGGTGCACATTATACGTGACACTGCACCTTGGTCATTCTGCCTACCTTGCTGAGTAGCTGAGAGTCTAGCTCTTTCAGTTGATCATCGAGACTCTTATTAGTTTGCTCAAAGCTGCCCTGTTTTCTATACTTATAACTGTCGGTAACGCCGTAAGAAGCGGTGCTGCCGTAACCGCTACCACCGCCGAGTACACTGCTCACTTTTCGAGAAAAGATCATGAGAATTAATACATAAATATCACAAAATCAAATTCCTTCTTCAAGTTGCATGTTCAAGTGTTATCTGAGAAAAAAAAAAGAACGATCTCGAGTGAATCGATACTTACCGAGTTCCGAGGTGCTCGTCAGCGCGGTGTGATGATCCGCCGACGTGCTCGAGTGAGACGAGTGCGCGGCGGGGTAACTGCCTACGCCGCTGCTACAACTGCTATCCTTGTCGTACGTGTGTTTCTGAAGCACCCTGATCATAGCGTCCCTCTCGGCCAACTTGGACTCCAAATCCTTCATCCTGTCGAATCGAAAAGAACGGATGATATTCTCAACGTCGGAATTTCGAAAACAGTCGCGGCCGTCAAATGTTGCACAATGGCAGATATATCGTTCACCTCGACTCCAGATCGGCCAGTTTCTTCTGCGCGACGTGCACCTCGTCCATGTGTCTCATCTTCTCCGAGCGAGCTTCGGCGATCAGTTTCTCCGCGTCTTGACTCGTCTTCTCCAGAGCGGCGATCTTCGCGTCTCTGATTCAGGGCGAAAAGTGTGAGAGATGCTGCCACGGTGTGACGCAAATCGCGGGGTTACAGCATATAACGCTTTCCACTTACATGCCCTTTACTGGCTCTCGTGTCGACTTGAGTTAGCTCAGGCTGACAACTCCGATACAATAAATGAAAAGCACTTCTATCTGATTTAATAGTGTGATTACGACAATTGATCGCGTATAGGAAATTTTATGCCAGAGAATCTTTCATCGATCCTCTGCTGATTCAGAACTATACCGTTTCTCCCTCTCTTCGCGTTTCAACGTTGGCTCAACTCACAGCCTCGGAGTCGAGTTCATCGAGGTTGAGTCACCCACGCAAAGTGGCACAAATTAAATGGAAAGCAGAAACGACACTGGAAGTCGACTTGCGTCACTAAACGAAAAAGCAACCAATGAGAAGACTTCACTCACTTCGGGAGGCTGGCTGCGTCGATGGCCGCCTGTCTCAGCGCGCTCTCCTCGAGGTACCGTTGCTCCCACTTGGCGACGTCGCCCTCGAGTGACATGATCTTCTCGTCCCGTTCGCGCAACCGTCGCTTGAAATCCGCGATCGTTTCCGCGTTCGGCGTCTGCTCGCTGCCGTTGGCGCCGCCAGCGCCGCCACCCTCGCGCAACTCCCTCTCGAGCTGGCCCCTGAGTTGCCTCTCGGTCTCCTCTCGTCTATCGCTAGACGCCTGAAGCGAAGACAGGGCTCGCTGAAGCTGGCCCACCCTCTCCACGTACACCTGCTTCTTGCGACACTGCGCATAAACGGAGAATATTTTAGTGATATTCGGCGTTCTGCGGATTTACCCTGCGCGTATAACTTCAGCTACTCTCCTCTCAGACTTACTTCATCCTCGAGCCGTACTACGTTGCGCTGCGCGTTGCTCAACGCATTGTCGAGAATCTCAATGTGCTTGCGTTGCTCCTGCAGGGTGGCTCGCTGCGCAGCCAGCTCGATCTCCTGTCTTTCCTTCGCAGCTGCTAATTCTTTGTCTGAAAGAAGCAGCCATGTAATAACGTAATGAGCGAGAAGATGGGCGTACCTGAAGGGGGCAGGGGACGACGCTCGTCCGCCCCTCCCTAAATTTTGACAAGAGAGAAACAATCATCAATAGACTATGTATGATAAGTGTACACAAAAAAAATGTGCTCGTGAAAAAAAAGAAGCTAGAAGAAGCTTGAAAAGAAGGAAAACAAGTATTGAGGAAGTTCACTGAAGATCTGTGAAAATTGGATTTAATGTAAGCATACTAATAAATTTTGTGTGAAGGTAAATTTTTGCTTCTCACCCCCTGACTGAAATTCTGGGTACGCCCTTGAAAGAAAGTATCGTCGCTTTTCAGATTTCTATTTAGGGTGGCTCGCGATCTTGATCTTAACAACTCCTCGTCTCATTCGACGTTACTCTGGGAAATTCCGATACGAAATCGCCGAGACTTCGAGAACCACCCTCAACGGGAACCTGCAGTGTGAACGAGTCGACGTCGTACTCTGAGTGATGAGCTGTCCGATGAGTAGCTCGCGCTGCGTCAGCTCCTTCCGCATGGACTCGACGATCGGCGGACTGTCCGTACGCGCGGACAACAGGTCGATCTGGTCCCTCAGCGCGCGGTTCAGCTCGATCAGGCGCTTGCAGTCATTCTGCAGCCTCGACCTGGCGGCGCGCTCCAGCTTCTCCCGTCGCTCGCACGACGCGGCGAGCTCCTCGTGAGCGCGATGCACCTTCGCTATCTCCTGCTCCAACTTCTGCGACTTGGCGACCTTGTTGTAGCAGCGCTCCAGTTCCACCTTCAACGCGCTGTTCTCTTGAATCAGGATTTGAATCATCTCCGACGGCGGCCACACCTCGCCCGTCTCCCTCTCCACTTCCTCGCGTCCTTTGGTTTGCGGTCTGGAAAGATTCGCGGGGGGAAATTCTACGTTAACGTGTTCTCTTCTCGCGAAACGCAGTCAGACGTCTGTCTGTGTGAAGCAGTCGGAATTCTTCGACGCATATGCCAGTCTATTCGAAGTAAGATACTTTGATAAACTTCCTCGACGACTCGTTCAAGGAGGTCGTAAGGTGAAACGAGTTTGATAAGAATTTGATGAAACTTGCGCCACGTATACATTGAAATATTATCTGCTCCTACAGTTAGAGAAAGACTGACCATTCGATAATTCAGATATTTGCAACAGAAGCCGACACTTTTTACAAGTGTTCCTTCAGATTAGTGTACTATTTTTTTAATTTCTACTTTTGATATCTTCTCAAGTGAAAATAAGGTTTTGATGAAAAGCTACTGTGATATTAAAAACTAATATGCAGACATAAATAAATTTTTAATAAAATAATTTCAGAATTATTGGCCATTCTGCTCTGAAAATACAGTAATGCAGAGTTCATAATTTAATATTCGAAATATATATATAATTTTAAGCACTTTATATACTTCTTTCTATTATTTGTACATTTCTATTAGATCAACTAATGCGCAAATATAGCATTAATAAGAAACAGAAAAAAATACTAAAATCTTCGTATTTGTAATATTGTGCACAAATGTTTACTTCAACTTCCCGTTTCTTTCGTTTCATTTACCTCAACTTCGTAAATAACAAATTAATATTTATTATTTAGGTAGCAAAAAATGAACCATAATTTTGCCTAACAAGTACTGAATTTAAGAGAGGCTCCCTCGACGCCACTGGAAAATATGGCACTGATCCTTACAACCTCCTTGATCTCGAATCACGAATAAATCCCTAATGACGATTAGTCTGAGCACAATTGTCTCCGAAACATCATGTTAGTAGCAGAAAAGACGTTACCGAGGCAGCGATCAAGAATTAAATATCATAACGAATATTTAAGATCGCTAACGCGCGTGCGACATGCGGAAAATGTAAAGTACCGCGGGGAGGTCGCTCGTAAATTGTAGTTATCGATGTCCGCTTTGTTGATTCTAGACAAGTCAGGCTGCGATCTCGATATAGTCAGTTTCTCCGTCGGCCCGAGGAGCCTGTGTTTGTTCTTCAACGGTAACAACGTGGATATGTAGGCCGGTGACGATCTGTCCTCGAATTCGTTGTCGTTTTGTTTTCCCCTGTCGCCGTCTCTTATCCTCATCTCGATGCTACCCCCGTTGTTGCTGTAAGACGGTACTTTCACTTCCTTCGCGAGATGCTTCAAGACCTGCGAGACAAAATATTGTATTTAACTACTTGTCCAGCTATATGAATCGCGATATAAAATTTAATCACCTTAATTCCGACCCGATACAAATAATCCAAACTATATTATATTCCAATTCGCTAATTAGCGCATCAAGCTCACCTGAGACTGACTGAGGTAATCATCCGGGATATCCGTAATTTCCTGGCAACCGCCGCCGCCGCCGGATTGCTCGTGGCTGTAATCTTCGTGCTGCAGATTGGACAGGGACTGCATTGTGGGACTGTTGGAGTGACCCTTGCCGCTGCCGTCGCAGTACAAGTAGCCCATATCTCCGTGCTCTCTCACTATGCTTGTCAGCCTATGCAAATACCGGCACGATCGTTGAGTGCACGATAAACAAGCGTTCGCCACTGAAAAGCCACACCTACCTCGTAGAAGGTACCCATGTGTTCTCCTCGTTAGCGTTGTGTATAATCAGCGTGTTGTAAGAACTCGTTGAGACATCTAGACTGCTTCTGTTGGAACCAACGCTGGTACGATTGCTCAAATTGTCCTTCAAGCTGTTCCGATTAGATCCATTGATGCTGTCCTTCAGGCTATTTCGATTCGAACCGTTCAAGCTCTCCTTTAAACTGTTTCTGTTCGATCCGTTCAGACTGTCCTTCAAGCTATTTCTGTTGTGCAAGTTACCCTGTGTAACAGGAGTAAAATCTTTATTTTCCAAGATATCATAAAAATATATACAATTAAAGTTGTACTATTTGGTGCACTTTGAAATTTCATCATATGTACATCACAGACACATGCATCACACCTGAATATTTGGTATGTTCTCCTTATGACTGGAAGATCTGGAAGGGCTCTGCTGCTGATTTTCCTGACCTTGCGGTTCCTGCCGCGCTGTATGTCTTATGACATATCTTTCTTCGTTGCTCAGGTTCTCGTTGGATGTGGAAACATCGGTGTCACTACCACTCAAACTCTGGGGAAGGCCACCTAAAGAAAGATGTTCAAATGAATATCACTATTATGACAAATTATACATTATATAGCTTATCGTGCAGTTTCTTAGAAACTACCTTGCATGGACAATTGTTTCCTCTGTAGATTATTGTTTGAGAATGGTAGGAACCTGTTTCCTTGTTGCAGCGAGCTCATTTTCGCGGCTACCTCATTTACGTGGTAGCTTGTAACTCGTCTGAAAAAAACAGGACATCCTCTGTATTACAAGAACGAGAGATAAAAGGGTCGCAGATTCGAGTATGCGGGCCGCATCGTCGTGAATCTCGTGAAACTTGATCGTGGAAACCCACGGCATACTCGGAGCATCCCGTGGAACTTTCCCAGGACTGCAGTCGTATGAGTTATCAACGAGACATGTCGTGATAATAATCGTAGCGTAGTGTAATTGTAGTCGTCGTTACAGTCGCAGTCATCATCGTCGTCGTAGTCGTCTTGTCGTTGTCGTCGTCGTCTTCAGGGTGTATCTGCCACTGGTCGTACAATCGGGCGCGTGAAACTCGCGTATCCGGTGCGATGCAACGCGACAGATCGCGATGACACCTGGCCCGGACCCGCCGTTCTCACGTTCAGCTACTTACTCGGTGCGAAATCGCGGGGAACGAGCCGAAAATCGCGATTATTTTCGATAAATTAGTACACTCCACTCCTCCGTGTACGAGAAATAAAAAGAACTGGTTGTCGCATTCCTCGGCAGAGCGCGCTGCCGGCCGCCTCGACCGCGGGTCCTGCGGTGTGCTTTCCAACCAGCGACGTTTCCGCCATTATCCTCCCTTCTCCGGACGAGACTCGGAACGTGATCGACGTGATTCGACTACTTTCGGAACACTTTGTTACGAATAACGTAAAGCCCGAGTCATACTACGGATTAGGATTGAGATTGAATTAAAATCTGGCCGATCAGAGCAAGATTTACTAAACTCGAGTTTAGCGAACGTCGCTTTGATTGGTGGAGTTTTAATCTATCTGATACGGACACTATAGTTTTTACAATCGTAATTGACATGAATGATAAACGATGACGACGTCATCGATCATTTTTGTCCGAGCAATTATTCCTTTGATTTAATTGAAATTCAGGCGTCGACAACAGTAGACTTTTACCAACAGTCACCGGACGTTGTATTGATGAACGATTGCGCATCATCGAAATACCTATGGTTGTTGGAAAGGTGATACGCCGCAAAATGTACACCACCAGATTTTCACGTCGCTTTTGTAAAAATCTCGTATCGTCCGTCAATTCTTTCTGTAGAAATGAGCAGCACGCACCGATAACGTCGGGTTATCAGCAATTCTCGGCAATCATATCTGATAGCCTGGCACACAGTCGTGCGTACTTTTTCTTTTGCAGTAAAATACGGGAATAGAAGTCGCAGTTTTAATCTGTAGATATCGTACATCCTACTGTTATACGTGAAAGAAACTTGTAAGATTCCTCTATTATAATTTCAAATATATAATATTCCGGTTTAGATTTGTAATTATGCAGCAGAATAAAAAAAAAACACTAAGATTATGACCGACGTAGATCGCTTGTGTTTTATTTTTCTAATTGTAACATTTGAAACGTGATTGATATGATCTTTCAGTGATACCGAGTTCGTGTTTCCCCAATTTATCTTGTCGTACACTAGGCACCATGGGAAAGTTCGATGTTACCTATGAACAGCTGGTAGAGGCGCAAAAGAACAGTAGCATTCTAATCGTTGACGTTAGGGAACAGTCTGAAATCGACACGACTGGCAAATTACCAGGCAGCATCCATATACCAAGTAGGAATCCTTCATTGCACTTATAAGTCTTCAAAAATATTCATTATATAATGTGTATTTTAAACAGTATTATATAATAGTATACAAGCACTAATATCTGATGTGTAACATATTAACAATCATATAATAATAATTATAAACAATATATACAAATGATAATAAGGTACACTATGCTTATTCAGTGGGTAACGTTTCTAACACATTGCAAAATCTGTCAGAAGAAGAATTTATGGAAAAATATAATAAACCTAAGCCCACCAAACACACAAAAATCATATTTAGCTGTCATAGTGGCAGGAGAAGTGGAATGGTACAAGCGGAGATGCAGAAATTGGGATATGACAAGTACAGTAGAACTTTCCGAAACATTATAAACATCCCAATATTTGTATAATTGAAATATTTGTTTTTTTGTTTTATAGTGTATATAATTACACCGGAGGATGGAAAGAGTGGTCAAGTAAGCAAAACTAAAATAAGCTGAATGAAGAAGAAGAACCATGTTGCTATGATGCTGTTATTTTATCACTTCTTTTTTTAACACGCAATGTAGTGGCCTTATTGTTATTATAAATCAAAGAAAAAGTTGCATTGTCGAAATAATCACAAATGTTTCTCAATAATCCTACATGTTGTCATTTATGTACATAATTCCTAGTAAATATATGATTCCTATATTCCTATTCCTATATTCCTATATTTTGTAATAATAAATGTATTCTTTTACTTATATATATATATATATATATATATNTTCTGCTCTTGCGCCAGTTTTTGATTAACCATCTCCCTGAACTGCCCAAGTATACGATTCTCCCGCTTTTGCCGCTCCTCCTTGCTGAACATCGCCAGCGCACGTTTCTCGTCGGCGGAATAGATCTGGTTTTCCTTACGAATACGAACCGCTTCCATGCGACGATGTCTTTGAAAAAAAACGCAATATTCAAGGAAGCATTCTCAACCGATACGTCCAGACTGTGATGAGATGCAATGAAGTTTTGTACAACTTACCTGCTACCACTCATGACGTAACCGACCAACTCGTAAGCGGCGATCTCCTCTGAGGTCAAACCGATCTCGCCTCTTCTGGGTATACGTTTGCCCTCAGCCACATAAGCCGCCATTGCCGCACCTTCACCAGGCAATAAAGCCTTGCCGAAATCTTTCGCGGACAGAGTTACATGTGGCTTAGGCACAGGTCCAATCCCATCGTCGTCTCCACTATCGTCCGAACTGGAGTCCCTCCTAGGTTTCGGCTTACTGGTAATCGCAGTCTTTTCTACCCAGACTTCTTCGTCACCGCTACTGCCGCTGTCGTCGGTGCTACTGTCTGTGTCCTTTGCTTTCTTCTTCTTCTTCTTCTTTCTTTTCTTTTCCTTCTTCTCTTTCCTAGCTTTCTTCTCCTTCTTCTCTCTCTTTAATTTCTTACTCTTCTAAAAAAAGCACATTTATTGATACATCATGAAAGTTTCTTGACACAAGAGACACAAATGAACACCTGTAATATTATATCATATATGAAATCAGTTTAATACCTTCTTCTTCAAATCATGTTTCTTCCTTTTGCCGTCTTTTGGTGAAATGTTACCATTGTGTTTAGTTACATCTTCGTCCTCTTCGTCTGAACTACTACAAATAAAAGAACAGTTGAAACTTTTAATCTTTCAATAGCTAAAAAATCACACACACATTGTATACATTGTACAATTAGATTCCATAAAGTCTGATTGTTGTTCCGAATATCTTTTCACGAATATCGAAATATATTTTAAATCTTTGTCTATAAATGAAAATATATTGAATGAATGCATTTCTGTTAAATTAAAAAACGGCGAATTTCAAGCACCTCTAATGCTAGGTTAGGTCACGATGATTAGGTTAGAAGCAACAAAATACTAAAGCAAAGGTACATACTATTCTATTCGCGTAGGTGACTTGCTCCAAGCTTCCGGAACCCCACGCATTCCTATTAACTCTCTCTCGCGTCTTCGTGCGTCCATCATATTTGCTTTTCTTTTTTTTTTTCCTAACAAATGCGATTGAATATTCTTGTTAGGATAGGATGGTATCGCTTCTCCTCCTTCCAACTTTTACGTTCTTTCTCGTTTTATACCAATTTCACATAAACTTTCATAAACTACTATAACAAGTAATATTACACACTACATTATATTTATTATGAACTATACAAATTCTTATTTTGTACGTCTTATTTACTATTTATTAATTACGAAGTTCGTTTTCTTCCTCCTTTAATATATGGCTTTGGTAGTCTGACTTGTCGTTGAGTCGTACTACTTATATGAATTGACAAAGCAAACAGTGGCGACTTTATAGAAGAATTGTCGGAACTAATAACAGCTAATGAACATCGTGTATCATCCTACGTTCATGGTGATAGGAGAATCGCACTCACACCATAGGTCTGTTCGTTTTGGTTGCACCGCTGAACTAGTGTAATAAGTTGAAGCGAGAAAACATATTTATTTCGCTTCAACTTATTGTTAGTTCAGTGGTGCAGCGAAAACGAACAGACCTCATATATATTCGAATATTAGGGTTCACCGACGTAATGATGAGTTTGGCGGCATTCCGAGGACAGTCAAATGGGTTAGACTTCGATGCGACAATTCTTGAGTTCGTGAATATATAGTTGTGTGAATATAAATTGTATGATACTCCGTTTTTTCGTTTAATAGATCGTTTCAGTTACTTTTTCCTCCGAATGTGCCAATATCGACGTCTGTTGAAGCGTGATTAAAAATGTCGCGAATGTCGGAGAAAATACGCGAAATTTTAGGCTACGGCGATAGTAAAAAAGTAACTGAGCAAAAGGTAATTACTCGCACCGAGATCATATAATGTTGATAATTATTGTTTGAACGTCTGCGTTTGTAGTCACAAAATTGTGAGAATGATAATGTTATACTAACTTTTGAAAAATCAAAATTTTTATAAGAAATTACATAGTTAAGGGAAAGTACAGTTGATCGAAGATATTCCGTATGTCAAAATCTGTTACATTTTCTTATTTTCTTATTTTCTACAAAGTCTGTTATAATTGATTCTTCATGAAAATCATTTATCTTTCAGAAATGTGTATCAGAACTGTTGAATTTGTACCAGAATAATGAAGCCCTTAAAGAGATCTGTCACCACACGGAACAAAGAAGTTGCAGAATTATCAATTGGTGTTATATTATGCATATTGCTCATAAGCTGGCTCTCAGTGTAAGTATTATGTTAAAATCTACAAGAAATTGCAACTTACATAATTTACTATTATAATTATCTGTCGATAACGTCTATTTGAATAAAAATATAGGAGGCTGATAGACCTGGCAAAGAATCAATTAAGAACAATGAGAGACAAGCTGTCATCAGGCTGATCATCAATACTGTCCGGCATTCGTATGAGAAGTCGACTGAGCTTTTGAAAAGTAACGAGCTAATACCTCTGGTATTACAAATATTAGACTCCCAACTATACATTCACTATCATGACACATACTTGGGAATACTGGTCAAATACATATTGCCTAAGAATATGGATTATAGCGATATCACAGCAAGTCAGTGGAGAGAATTGCTGGTGGTTTGCAAGAAGTTGTATAAAAAAATGCAACCGAAGAAGCATATTGTGTTAGATGCATTGCAGATGATCGTCGAGTATTCCTTCTCGCACACCAACTTGTTGGCTGATGTAAAGGACCTCCCGTTGTTCCTAGGTGTGGTAACTTATTGAACTGCTTCTTCACATTGTTCCACGTCATTTTCAAGGTTACAGAAAACAGAATAATGATATCGTTTAATTTCCTAGAGAACATCTTCGGGGATACGAAGAATACGAACGATGAGCAGTTGATCGAATCTTTCTACAAGCTCGCTAACAATGTGTACAGGCAAATCGCAACAGAATCCCGAATTACACTGTGCAAGTTCAGCGAGACCATACTGATGGATATGCTGCATTTGAATGGCTCCGAGGAGAAGTACAGATTTCTGCTGGTTATCCTACAGATCCATCATCCGGAAGGTATCTCCAAGTGCGACGATGGCGCTTACGCTCACGACTGGAACAAATGGAGGGACTTGCTGGGCAGCATGTACTTGCTCATCCAGGAGAATTGCAAATTGGACGTACAATGGCACGGCTTTGTCCAGTTCGCCAGCGAAGGTATTCTCTCACCGACGCACGTATATTCGCTCGTATCGTTGCCAACATCACATAAAAACATGTGCGATCCTCAGTTGTGAAGCAGATGCTCGACAACGTGGGTAACGTCGCAGTCTTCCCCGACGCGAATTACGGTTTCCCGTCGGCCAAACGCAGACGGATAAACAAGCTGACGAGCATCGTTGATCTGATAACGGAAAGCAATCCCGAGGAAGCGTGGCCTTGGATAAGGATAACGACGGAAACTCTGAAGAAGTACCCGCAGTGCCTCAGATCGCAAGATCTCGCGCCCTTGTTGCAGCATCTGACAGAGCTCGCTCGTCCCTTGTCACGGATAACCGACTTGAATGAATCCATCATGGACAACCTGTACAGATTCGCCACTGTTCTTATGGAGAACGAGATGTCCACCGGGGAGGTGCAGGACGCCACGATACATTGGAGCAAGATCTGGGACATGTTATTGAGGTATGTTTCTTGCATCGTTGATTGATTCTCGTCTCAAAACAGAAACATTATTAGGAACACAATAGTTTTAATAATAATTTCTTTTCGACTGAATTTTCTGTACCAACAATTCCCCATATTACTTCAAACTTTCCCGTATCAATTAAATTTCCTATATTATTCATAATAGAAAACTTATCTTTCCCATTGCCTTGTTTAGTCTTTGAAAAGACCAATTGCAACATCGTCAACCCTAGGTGGAGATTTCTAAGAAGACCGTGTCATTTTAGATCTTTGGGAACGAATCAGAACGAGGAATCAGGCCACGCGCTGGCCCGCTGTTTCATAAAGCACAACAGAATGCCGAATGCAAACGCCTTCCTCAGACTGTACCTGACCAGGACGATCCGCTGGACGCCGAACAACGTGCGTACGCTTCTGCTGCTGTGCAGGCGCGTCTCCTTACCGGAGGACGCGTCCGCGTCGGTCCTCTATCCGTCGCCCTCGTCGACGCCGATCTGCGACAGAACGCGCCTCCTGGAATGGTTGCTGAGCGCCGCACCCTGGCAGAAGCTGGCCCGACTGCCCGTCGTAATCGACGATATCTGCGTTCTTTCGGTGGATCTCGTCCTGAGCTCTCGCTGCCGGCAGAACATCAGGTCAGACCTCGTGTCAGACTTGGGTGATCCGAAATGTTTGCGGAACCATGAAGAGACGCGCAGAGTCGTCTCAGCGCCGCGGGATGTTTATCCGACGGACCTCTCGCGACTCTGCTACTCGTTTTTGGCTTTCAAGGCGGAGTTGTTGGCGTGCACAAAGGACGAGCGCGTTGAAACGGCACCCGGAACGATCACCGGCCCTGTCCCGTACGTGCAGGAGACGCTCGGCTTCCTGAAGCAGCAACTGAACGACTTTCTCCAAGAGGAGGGCTCCAACGCCGAAGTCTACGTCGTTCTGACGAAGCTCGCGCTCCTGGCCAGATTGCTGTCTACTCTGATGCAACTGGCCGTTCTGACGGAGGATTGTCCGCTGATCGACGTACTGGAGAAGCACCTGGCGAGCAGCTTCCAGACCTTGGCGAGCATCAGCTCCAAGTGCAAATTCTCGTATCTACTGAACGTGATCAAGGCGCTGAGCGCACTCTACGGAGGCGCGTACGGCACGAGTGTCGCCAAGATAATCGTCTCAACGTCGACGGGAAACATGCTGAGGAACATATTCGAATTGTTGAACGTCAATGACACCGACATGGCCGATTACCAGCGTGGCTCCGAGTATTACGACGATCCCAGCGCTTTCCAGCAGAGACGACGATCCGTCGGTAATGCGAAGACGCCGTCGTCTGCTGCTGCTGCTCCTCGCGAAGGCATGATCCGCCTGTGGGTGGTCGAGGCCCTAACGTCTTTTTGCGCGTTGCACGTCGGCATGGGCGACCATCCGGACGCGCTGCAGATCAAGATAATGAAGAACTTCTTGCTCACGTGGCAGGACTGCGCGAACCCCGTCGAGCTGGGGATGTCCTTGACGATCTTGGAGTCGTTCGCTGGACACGAGCAGAGCGAGATTCACTGGAAACACGCGGACGAGTCGCTGGAGTTTCTTCTGAAGGTCTGCCGGAAGCCCAAGGACGGGGTGTCGGTGCGCAGGCTGCTGGGTCTCCTGCCGTTTTTCTTCGAGTACGCGCCGAGGAGGATCATCGAGACGTTGTCGGCGTTCTTCATGCACGCTCGCGAGCGGAACTGCGGCGTGTCCGTCCACGCTGACTACATGAGGTGCATCTGCGCCGTCGTACGGATCGATCCGGGCTTCTCGTGGAGCTCCGACCCTTCGGCGGAGGTCACGATGATGCTGGACAGCGTCCTCGACTACATCGGCCATCCGTCCTTCGTGCTGCGCGCGCAGGCGGTGCGATGCCTGCAGGAGTTCATGTCCCTCGGCGACGTCGCTTACATGTGGAAGAAGTGGATGTTCATCAAGGTGGAAGAGACGGTGCTCAAGTTGCTCGAGGTGGACGAGCAGGCGAGCTCGGATTCGCGAAGGTATACTTATTAAAACGGAATGCATGAAGAGCCGAATAATTGTAAAGAGCGAAGACGATATTACGTTACGTCTGTACGTCCGTCAAGCGTTCTTTCGTTGCTTTCGTTAATTCGCATCTTTGTGGAGCAGCTGCCTGAAGACGCGCCAGCTGGAAGACGAGAGGGAGACCAAGACGGCCACTTCGTTGATGGCTTTGGCTTCCGTGGCGTGTATCAGCGGAGTTCTCCAAGGCCGTGCTTTGAGCGTCATGCTGGAGCTGACGGTGAATAGAGAAGTGAAGGCGCAGAAAGTGCAGAAGGTCCTCTCGGCGGCGATGCAGCAGACCATGTACACTTCGCTGATCGAAGACAATCTGAACTACTTGTTGACGTTTTGGCACGACGCTGGGTATCCATTGCAAACGTTCCCGTGGACGCTCACAGGTAACGACCGAGATCGGTTAGAAAGGTTTAAAAAAAAAAGAAGGAGCTGGGTAGGTTATGAGGTCGCTAAAAACGAGACGTTGCTTGTCGACAGGATGCGGGAGCGTGGCCGAGTTCTTCGAGAGACACGTCAACCGTATAGTTCCTCTTCTTCTTCGCACCTCGGGCCTCAGCAAAGCCGTGTCCTTTTGCGACGACGCCGGGGTAGCGTTCGCCGACGTCTTCGAAGATATCTTCCCGGCCTGCTTCGTCTGGATGATATCCCGCGTATGCAACCCAGCCTCGGTCGACGGCGTCGCCGTTCAGACGCTGAAGAAGCTGCAGGGGAGCACCGACGAGTTCGCGTCGACACGCAATTTGACCCGCCTGCTCGCCGACCAGCTGAAGGACGTTTTCGTGGACCTGGTGCAACGGCTGCATGACGAGAAACACTTCAAGCTTATGTTCTCCTTCGGAAGCGCGGTGTACTTCCCGGAGGACGACCCGCCGCACTTCTCCGCGGCCATGCTGGATCAGTGCTTCGGTCACCTGGAGCAAAGATACCTGATGAAGCCGTTGACGCGTCTGCTGGTCGAAGAGCAACCGGCGGTGCTGCAGAGGACGCTGCTGCAGCTGGCGAGCGCCGTGCACTCGTCGCGCTCCTGCGAGCGTAAGCTGAAGAGGCTGCACCAGTACGTGTACTTCTGCCACAAGCTGACGCGAAATCTCGGGAAGCCGTGCTTCGACAAGATGGCCGCGTTCTTGGTGAGAGACGTGTGCTACAGCCTGTTGCACTTTACTGGGAGCGACGAGACTCTGTCCGCGGCCTGTTGCAAGTTTCTGGACTTGTTTCTCAGACAAGCACTGCCGACGAGGGCCGCAGAGGTCCGGGATGTTCTCAGGTTCGTCGTGGCGAACCTGATCGGCCTGGCGCAGAGCGCGAGCAGCGCCGAAGTCGCTCTGGGCCTGCTTAAGTTCCTCATAGTGGAGCAGAGGGAAGTTCTGCACGAGTCCGTCGCGAAACTCAGCTCGTTTCCCAACCTCGGGATCTTCCGGGAGGTAAGGGAGGCTCACGAAGGCGTCAGGTACGCGGACGGGGCGGTGTGTCTCGAGGAAGAGCTGGAGCGTTTCCTCGAAGCCATAAGCGACGAGAACGCCGAGTGCACGCTTGAGGACCTCGTGAATTTGACGCAGCAGCTATCGACGCGGAAGAAGGAGTTGAAGGAGCTGCACCGGAGGCTGGAGAGACCGTATCCTGAGGGTGGCGTCAATATTTTGCATCAAGTGATATTTAAGTGAGCGCCATTATCCCGATTGTTATTTAATTTTCTTCCTCTTTTTACTTATTTTTTTATCCCCCCTCCCCCCTCCTCTCTCTTTCTCTCTCTTTCCCTCTCTTTCCTTGCGGTTATCTCCGCAAAGCCCGAGAAAATATCCCGCAAACTTGTTTTTCACAGACTGATGAAGCTGACGGAATCATCGAACACGCGCATTTCGATGGAAGCCACGAGGTGTCTTGGCGAGTTCGGCCCGACGGACTCCACGGTGGTCTCGCAGCCATCCGAAAGTCCGGTGCGCGAAGCGGACCACGTGATAGAAGTTTTGACGTACCGATCCGTCGCGATGTTGACAAGCTTCCTGGCGGAGAGTGCGGTGGACCTGCGCAAGGTTTCTTTTCGATTGAAGGCGCAAGGCATGGATCACGATTAAGTCGATAAACGCCCAACGTATTCGTTCCAGGTCAGCGCCGACGCTCTTTATACGATGTTCTCCACCACCTACGGCAAGAAACTGTCTGATCCTGAGTACATGAAGGACCTGTCGAACATTTACGATAAATGCGCGCCCCTGAAACTAGAGTACATCCGACCGTTCCTCCACAGCCGTGTCGTCGCGAACAAATGCTTCTCCGTGAACTTCACGAGATTCCGGACCATCATGGAGCCGCGTAACTCACTGTGGACCATCAAGAACGGCGAGAGCTACGCCGAATGGATCATTAAGGTCACCTGCGGTGTCGCCGAGTGTTTTGCGGACTCCTACCTGGACAGCTTCCTGCCTGTCTGCCGGCTCAGCGTCAAGTTCTGTGAGCTGATCCTGCCGAGGATCATCTTCCTCATCATCGAACGGTGCGAGAACCTCATCAACACCCTGTGCGACTGCATCAATCAGTTCTTCAGGTACCGAGCACAGTCTCTGAATGATATCTAAACGATACTCAACGTTTGTTATCGGGCGATTCGACGATTTTGAACAAATCCCGTAGTAGAGATTGATCGATAAAATTGAAGGCTTGATTTGGCAGGTATCACTTCGCGATCGACCAAGAGGCCGGGGCCGCTCGCTGCGACCGCAATATCGTGCGCCGCATGCTGCACGTGGTGAACCACGTGCGAACGCAGCTGCCGGACAACGTGAGCCTGAAGCTCGACTACGTCTACCTCGCGCGAGCGGCGCACGAGTGCTCCGCTTACTACACGGCCCTGCTGTTCGTGCAGTTGGCCTGCGAGTCCTTCTCCACAGATTACCCCAACTTCAGCAGCGACCCGAAGATCGACTACATCTACGAGCACCAGCCGCAGCTCGGCCGCGTGCTGCAGGACATCATGCAGGACACTTATCTGAATATCAGCGACCCCGACGCGATATGCGGCGCCGGCTCGTCCTATCTGGTCGACCACAACTCCAGGATGCAGTACTACGCACGCACCAATAGCTGGGACAAGGTCATGCTGGCGCAGGACATTGAGCTGTCGTACGGCAACCCGCTGGCCCCCAAGGAGATGTCGAACGCGCTGCACCGCTCCGGCCTGCAGTTCCTCCAGTGGCAGTTTCTCAGGGGTGACCTGGACGAGAAGTTCGGCTACGAGTGCGCCTGGCGACTCGGCGACTGGGGTCTGCTGGTCAACGATACCGCCACGAGTTACAACAACTCGACGCTGGAGTCCCTGGAGAACTCGTTTTATCAGCACCATTACCACGCCCTGAAGTGCTTCCACGAAGACGACCGGAGGGGAACGGAGAGAGCGCTCGAGTGCGCTCGTAGAAGCGTAATCAGTTCCCTGAGAGTCATCAGTCTGGAGAGCAGCAAGACCGTCAACGAGAAGCTGTCCCAGCTGCGGCTGCTACGCGAGATCGAGCAGCTGAGCGGCCTCACCGATTCGCGGACGTACCCAGAAGTATTGCAGCGCTGGGACGAGCACGAGATACTGAACGGTCAGTTCGAGTACGTGGAGCCGATCCTGCAACAGCGTATCATCATGTTCCGGATCAAGGAGTCCCTGAAGACGGACCCGAACATACAGGAGGCGTTCTTCACGACCTGCCTGGACCTGGCGATGGTAGCCGAGTGTCAGGGTAACTTCCCGGTCGCCGCCAGGGCGCTGGGCGTCTTGGCGAAACACCAGGACCTGTCGGAGGACTTCCAGAACCAACTGCTCTATCAGGAATCTCTCCTCGCGTGGATGACGCGCGACCAGAAGATAGCGCGCCGTTTGTTGCGCGACCTGATCGAGAAGAGGAACATGAAAGCGAGTTTAAAAGCGAAGGCTCTTCGGGTTTACGGCGATTGGATGGCGGAGACCAAGTCGGAGAACCCGCAGGCGGTGATACAAAAGTATTACCTGGAGTCGATCAAGAGTCTTGAGACCAGCGACGCTATCGACGAACGGACGCCTGATGTTGTGAAAAACTTGAACGACACGCAGGTAAAGACGCACAGTGCACAGTATTCGAGCTTCTCGGTCACAGGCGGTACATCGGGAACGTGAAGAAGGATGTTGATGTCATTCTCGTTAGTTCTATCTCGTAGATGAGCGAAGCCAAAGTACGCCTAACTATGGATATTCTTGGACGTTTTCGTCTTTAAATACAAGTGTTTAATCTTGAAGCAGAAAATATTTGTACGTATTTGATGTATGTACGTATATCGTGCGATGAAATTGTGAATATTCACACTTAGAACAAAAAGACCAAAACGACAAGAATGTCCAGAGTTCGATACGTGTCCAGGCATTGGTACTTTAATCTTGTGCAAACGTGAATATCGCAGGTCGCACTGGCGCGTTTCGCAGACGCGCAGTACGAGCAGATCAGCGACTACATGAGATCCTCGGCGTACGAGTCCCTCAAGGAGTACGCCCGCTCTGCGGTCAAAGTGAACACCGCGCAGATGAACCAAGACCTTAAACGCGCTGTGGTACTCAGCCAGAGGCAGTCGACGAACGATGAGGCCGAGCTGGAGAGTATCAAACGGGAGAGACGCAACTACCTGTCGCAGGCCTTCAAGTACTACCTGAGGACTCTGCAGAGCAGCGAGGAACACAATCTCCTCATCTTCCGGCTAGTGTCGCTCTGGCTGGACAACATGTTCGGCGAGGAAGTGAACGAGTTCCTGAATGAGCTGGACACCGTGCCATCTTTCAAGTTCGTCCCGCTGGTGCCGCAACTGGCTGCTCATATCAGCAACGATCTGAAAAACGGATTCTCCGCGAAGATCTTCGACATTCTCCTGCGTTGCGCCCGGGAACACCCGTATCACACGCTGCCGGTGGTGCTGGCTCTGAAAAATTTGCATACCGACAACGAGTTCGACTCGAATATTGTGACGAAGAAGGAGGAACGTCGCGTGTTGGGCGCCAAGGAGCTTCTCAAACGATTGGCCAAACTCCCACAGGTGTCGCCGATTATCTACGAAATGGAGATCCTGTCGAGGGCCTTGGTGAGTCTGGCCTATTGGCAGCCAAAGGGCAACGGCCAGCCTGGGAAACGCCAGCAGATACCGCTGGACCAGCCGATCCTCGGGGTATTCTTCTCAATCATATTTTCAAGATTCTTGCCCCGGAAGAGTAGTAGAGTTGATCATTGTTATTTAAAATGATTATTTTCCAGATCAAGAACCTGAATAACGTCCTCTTGCCGACTTTGAGCTTGCCTGTGAAACCATCCTGTAAATACAGCGACGAAGTAATCGGCGTGAAGTCGTATCAGAACATTTGCGAATTCGTCGGCGGCATAAACGCCCCGAAGAAGATAATCTGCGTCGGCACCGACGGCGTACTGCGCCGGCAGTTGGTCAAGGGCAAGGACGACCTCAGGCAAGACGCGGTGATGCAGCAGGTGTTCACCGTGATAAACACGCTGTTGAGAACGTGCAAGGAGACCAAGCGGCGGAACCTACGGATCAGAACGTACAAGGTGGTGCCGCTAACGCAAAGGTCGGGCGTGTTGGAGTGGTGCGACAACACAGTGCCGATCGCGATGGTCTTGTTGGGCAACCCAAACACTCCTGGTTTGCACAAGAAGTACTACCCGCGCGACATGAGCGCAGAAGCGGCGAAGAACAAGCTGAGAAACGTCGAAAAAGAATCGAACGAGGTGACTTGATGATACTCTTGGACAAGGACAACGGCTGTTCTTTGCATTAGCGTTGTCCTTTATGCCGAGCCAAAAATTATATATTTTTTAAACCCTTAATTTTTTTCAATCTTTTTAACATTAAAGGGTCGCCACAGACCCGGAAAATGAATGTTGTAATTTACGTTGTCTGTCGTTATGCAGGTGAAGCTGAATGTATTCCTCAAGTGCTGCAAACATATGAGACCGGCATTCCAGCACTTCTTCGAGGAGAAGTATCTGTCGCCCGAGAACTGGGTCGAGAGGACCCTCACGTACACGCGCAGCGTCGCCACCACGTCCATCGCGGGCTACATTTTGGGTTTGGGCGACAGACACCTGAGTAACATCCTTATCGACGAACGGACCGCCGAGGTGGTTCACATTGACTTCGGAATAGCCTTTGAGCAGGGCAAGATCCTGCCCATTCGGGAAACGATTCCTTTCAGGTAGAACCATCACTGTATGTCGATCGTTGGCTTGCACGGAATTGCTTCAATATATTACATAGTATATAAAATTTTATATAAAATGCCTCTGAAACCTTATATTTCAAGTTTACAGCATCTTCAGATGCATTTCATGTTCCAAGATAATCAAGATGTTTTATACTCGATAACGTAGCACGATAAAATTCTGAATTACTATTGCAGGGGTTATTGATGTTCGTGTGATTTAAGTATTGAAGTATATTGTTGGTTTCGTTGCAGACTAACCAGGGATATCGAGGTTGCCATGGGTGCATCCGGCATCGAGGGTACTATGAGACGCAGCTGCGAGGTGACCATGACGATGTTGCGCGACCAAAAGCAGATCATCATCACTCTCCTGCAAGTTCTGCTCTACGATCCGCTGTTCACCTGGGCCATCACGCCCGAGAAGGCGTGCAAGATGCAGAGCGTGGTCGTGAAAGGCTTCTCCGAGCGCGGACGTGGTAAAAGAAATTGATTTTTAAATCTTAGAACTAATTGGAGTCGTTGATATTTCGCTATTGTTACTGTTGGTAGAAACGAATTGATAACTGATTATCGCTTACTTAAGTGCCCGTGGAGACCAATAAAATCGCTAAGAGAGCTCTCCTGAGGATCGAACAGAAGCTGCAGGGGACAGAGGACGGTTTGGTGTCCAGCGTGTCGGGCCAGGTGGAGAGGCTCCTACAGGAAGCCCGGGACCCCGCGAATTTGTGCCGTGTTTATTACGGTTGGCAACCGTACTTGTAAATATTTTGCATTTTTTTATACCGGATGTATTACTTTTACCATGTAGCTTAATTTATACTTACCAACTATACGTTTATACTTTTCTTAAATAAAATAAAAAGTTCGTTAATTCTGATTTTTTTTTTCTTTTTTATTTACGTTGGCAAGATCCGCCGATATCGAGATACATGTCTCACACATGAGTCGATAAATCGAAGTCTCGAGAGCGTCGATATGTCAGTCGAAACTGTTTCTTCGGATGACACGCGAGGTATTTCGCTCGTTGACAAAAACTGGTTCTGCAAATCGGAGACATTGGTTTGTTCTTAAGATAATATCTAGCCAATGAAACGACTTTGTATTTTTTGCTGGAAAGCGACCAGAGCAAACCGATGTCTCCTATTTGCAAAAACGAATGCCAAATATCAAGTTCATCTTGAGATGCTCGGTAGCTTATGAAATAAGCCGTACAGCATCTGAAGAAACATGAACTTACGACGATCTTAAATATAACATCCGACTATGAATATCGCTCTAAGACATATTTATCACTCATTACTACCTAAGTTTTAATTACTTAATAGTAAAAAAGCGCCAGATTACAAATAATTTGTTAAGTATCGTTCTTCACATGCAACGAAAGAAACGAATAAAAGGATATGTGAAGCAGGCCTTACGTTTCAAACGTTTCGCGCATGCGCGAGGCGCGCCGCACTGACGCCTCTTCGCGGCCATTTGTGGCGGTCAGTACGTTAACAGCCGTGGTGGCAGTTGGTCGATTAGTTAATTGTGCGCGCCATGCCTACCATCGCGTAAACACAGCGTCGCGACGTCACAAACGCGATTTCATCTCTCTCTCTCTCTCTCTCTCTCTGGATAAAACGCGACGTCGCGCGTCACGTTTCGCATCGTAGTGCGCTCTCACGTTCGGTTATGCCGTGCGCGTAAAATCGGCGAGAAGATTAAAATGTCGCTGCACTTGGCTGACCGAAATCTGCTGACAAACAGGTGAAGATGGAAGATGATGCTGACCTAAGGGAACAATTGTTTCACAACACCGTGCGAGAGAGCATCGTGAGTATTTAGATTAATCATAACAAATAGAGAACGTGAATCAATCGTCATCGTCGTATTGACGTACGTTCGCGTCTCATGCTTGAAATCGCAGTCCGTTTTGTCTCCGTGAAGTCGGCTTTCCTGCACGATAATCGCGCGAAAACGGGCGAGGGTTGGAGATTTGAGGCGGCAGGGACTCGCCTCTCGCAAAATTGTGGTTATTCTGTAGAGATTCGCGCGAAAATGGGTCGTGAAGTGTGAAGTTCGCGATACAGGAGACTCGTCTGACATACGGTCGAATTTCCCTGCGCTATGCGCTCGCGAAAACGAGCCTTATCGCGCGCTGCGAGCGGTGACGCCTCGTTGTCACGGAAAATCCGACGACGTGTCGACATGGATTTAATCTGCATGTTTGTTTATTTTAACGAAGAACGAACGAGCGTTTGTCCTCTGTTCCGATTGTTGAATACGAAGCGTCGAAATTCCACGTTTGCGATGTTTCAGCACGACCTCACGAGCACTTTAATTTCTCGTAACGTATGACTTTGAACGTTTGATAAGTTTTTTTCCAAGCGAAACAAACGTGATTGTTAGATTGTGAGAGAGACAGAGAGAAAAAGAGAGAAGTCGGTGATACATCTCGTCCTCGGCCTCGTTGTCAGTGCGATGCCTTCTCTTCGTGACGAGCGACGAGAGATACCCGAGTCGACGTGCGCAAATAATAGGACAAGTTCCGAAGTCGATCGTTGTACATACGGGATCGGTTTATAATTTGTCCTTATTGGGGGGAGGGGGGGGGAGTGGAGTTAGCTTAATTACACATAATATATTTAGATCGAGAAGTTAATCGTGATTACAAGATGTAAAAACGATAATTTGGTACTTGTACAATGTCCTGAAATTTGTCTAAATCTGTCTTCTTTCTAAGCGGATGAATAAATGAATTTCTACGATGAATTCGATTAGAAATGCGGTAAAAAGTTCAAGGAGGAGCAGTGAGTAATAAATTGATGATTACTTGCAAAATATTAGTGATGTAATTACAGGCGGATATGCATCAACTGTCAAAATAAAAGGTATTATTGTGATTTCAGACAAACTCGAATTTTCGAATAAACAAACAAACGAATATAGAACCAAGTATTGTTATATATGTGTGTGTGTGTGTGTGTGTGTGTTATCCAATTAGCCATACAGAATGTTCCAGAATTCAAATGCAGCCGAATTTAACAAAAAAACGTTGTGAAAGTTTCTCATATACGTGGTAAATTGACGTTGTACTCAACGTTGCATATTTTTGCAGTTAATACCGGAGTCGCGAACGCGCGATAAAGTTCGGAATATAACGAAGTGTTATCATTCGTCAGTCTATTATTTTTCTACAATTTCCGACGAGTTCTACTCATTTTTCATAGTTTATTTCTTAACGACGGTCGACATCAGATCGATATCTCCAGGAAAATTGACCGCGAAACGGTCAACGAATTTTCGCGGACGGAAAAAGTCCGCGGAACCTTGTCGAATTTACCTCCCGCATTTTTCGATCCTTCCCCGGAGTTACATCTTGATATTCCCATCCGGGATATCCTCGCCTTCCTCCGTCGCCGTCGTCCGCAAGTCGGGAACTACCCGCAGGAATTTCAAACGCGAGAACACCGCGACACGCCTCGGGTGCGTTCACCTTGTGTTTCGCAAATGCAACCGCGCCAACGTAGGATGCGTTTTTCTTAGCGGCAGACGCAGTCTTCGTTTTGCGGATTTCTCGACGCCGAGAAACCGGTCGTCGCCGGTCGGCGACTCGCCGCCGACGACGACTTGCAACAGCCATGAACAAAGTATCTAGGAGGCGAGAGCGATAAGAGAGAGAGAGAGAAAGAGAGAGAGAAGATCGGCTGATTCCTCCTCGGGCTCAGAAGTCGCGATCTTCCATATATCCCTCTCGATTGATAGAGAGAAGAAAGTGCGTGTAGGCAGCGCAAGCATTACGTACAAATGTTACGTTACGACGTCAAATGTATCTCCACGAGGAAACAATTATTATGACGGAAGTCACTTATTATCGGATTTCACGGAAGAAGAAGCATCAGAGAAGCGTAGAATTATAATTACCTGTGATTACGTTCGGGCGTTCTAAGAATTACCAGCCCAATTCTGACTTCACACAACGATTGCTGAAACACATGTTTATCAGTTTTCGTATCGGTTTCATTCTCCTTTCCCGCCTCTTTTTTGTTTTTTCTTTTTTGGCACGCGTTATTCCTAGATCTACGGACTTTTACCTCCTTGGAAAGTTTACCGTGAAAGCACGTTCCACTTCTTTCCGCGTCTCGACTAGTAATCCGTCGTGATTTAATTGTTTTGTGCAGTCCCTGCGTTCCGTTTAACTCTTTTAACCGATATACGCACGAAGGCAATTATCGCGCTCGAAGCGAAGAGAAAAAGAAGGCGGACAGATGTAAAGATGTTCATTGTGAATGATCTTCTGACGCACAAGAGAAACGCGTGCGTGCCTAAAGAGTCATTTAAAAATTAACAAAAGAAACGAGAGACGACGTATCATGAAATGTTCAAGGATGAATTTATCCTCCTCGGCTGGCGAAATAAATATGCCAATTACACCGTATTAATTTTACTTTGTGTTAAGGACGAGAAACGAAGAAGGATGATGATTTTGGGATCATGGGACGATGAGTTGAATATAGTTAAAGGAAATATATTGCAGAAGTTTGGAAAGAGAGAGGAAAAAGAGAGGGAAGAAATGAAGCTAGTGATAAAAAATGTTTTAAAGTCACGACGATTTCAAACTCCGACCTAGAAGAGCCCAGTGTCCTTACGCATACGGAGAACGAATCACACGTGATGGCTTGAAAGAAAAAAATCAACTAACGAGCGAGAGATGATCTATTCGCAAGTTCGTAAGCCGAAGTAAAAACTGTCGTAACTAGAGCGCGTAAGCTAGGCTGCGGCATCCGGCGCCTCTCGTCGGTATCGGTCACTTTATCGAAAAGATACCGTTGTGCACAACAGCAGAGAGGAATCGACAGGTGGCGAGACTAAATCGCGAAGACAGAGTGCGGACGAGATCTGAAAGAAGTGACGTGTCATTCGGTCAGTTGCTGTTGCAGGCAGTTTGATCGATAATGAGATGCGGCGAGAGAGGTGGCGGGAGATAAGAAACTGCTCGGCAACGTGCTCGGCAGAGCGGGGTCAATGATCAAAAATGACGAGCGATAACGGTAGTCCAGCTATCTCCTTCTTTTATCATCGGCCGTGGAGCCTGGCGGCGCTCGCCGATCGTAAACTTCGCAAGATCACTCGATGGTTCGGCGACAGGACGAGTATTTTCCAACTGTGTCTGCGGTTACGATTATTTTTCAGTTACGGTCGCTTCTAGACGACAGATTTTTCCGGAGGGTGACCGAAAAAAAAAATACCGTAGCTGTAACACGTGCGGTTCTTTTTTCATTTCTTCACGAGGAGAAAAAGTAATCGGCTGAATTAACGGTGAAAGGAACGAGAACGGAATGCGTTTTCGTTGAAGGAAACAGAATTTCTTATGAGCCAAATTTAATTTTTCAAACGCATTCAGTTCGTTTATTGTCACGTTAATTTAACCATTTTCCTTTCTGTTTAATGTTTCTATAGTTTCCAAAAACTCCGAAGACCCCGATTTTTTTCATTTTTCCGCGGATTTCTTCGGTTTCTATTTAAAGAATAGAAACATTCGTTTAGAAAAATTCATGTATGTTTGGTTAAAATCTGCCACGTTAATTTTTTTCATAAAGAAGATGAGAAAAGCCAAAAAATTCGCGGAAAAGTGGGGAAAAAATTATTTTTCCGAACTTTTAAAATTACAGATATTTCACTCTATCCCACATCTACACAAGATGATTTTAAAGCACGTATGATCAGAAGCTGAAAAGTTGTTCGTTACTTATAACACCGTTAATTTTTACTCCTTTTTTCAACAATAACATTTAATAACGATGTGCATGATGTTATCTTTATTAATGACGATAACGATAAAGTAGTTACATCTTCTGGGCAACGGTAACAAATGTAATCGTTAGTTTGCACACGTACAATAATAATTTCCCGTTACTCGTTACTTTTAAAAAGTAACGCGGATTTCTTCGGTTTCTATTTTGAGAATAGAAACATCGTTTAGAAAATTATAATAAGGAAGTAATGCGTTACTTTTAAAAAGTAACGCATTACTTTCTAACTCTATAAAAACTCTATAAAAACATGTAAATGTTACGATGTACATTCGGTCACAGAACGGTTGCAACAGTTTTTTTCTTACATACTTAAGAACACACAAAAGATGCGACGAAGCGAACCTATGAATCACGAACATGCGCAATAGATCGTCAGCAGCTATCAAAATTAGATATGTATATATTTAAATTATATGTGTATATGTAATTTTGATAACTGTGTGACTATCTATTGCGCATGTTCGTAAATCACAGGTTCGCTTCGTCGTATTTTTTGTGCGTGCGTAACATGTAAAAAAAAAAACACTGTTGCAACCGCCCGGTGATCGATTGTACGTATAGATAAAAGAAAAAATTGTAACGTCGTATGAAATTTTTTTTTTTAATAATTGTGGTATGCATGCATGAATAGCTATGCATGTAGACATAATATTTTACAGGTTTGAAAAGTGTAGGTAACGCGTAACTTGTTACGAGTAAAAAGTAACGCATTACTGCCAACTCTGTCAAGAAGTACCCCCCCCCCCTCATGTATCTTCGATCATTTTATCTCGACACTCTTCCGCGACAAGACGCATTCTAGAAGAGAGTCGATTTATGCAGAAGCAGACAGGTCGCGTACAGGTCGCCACGCGGAAACGGCGAGCGAGTCAGCGCTGTTTACGATCAATCGATCAATTGGAATCGCGGATTCAGCTTTCGGATCCAGGTCGACGTGTCCGACACCACTTTGTCGATTAGACATCTCCTCGCTTATCCCCGCGCGCACTCCTGAACTCTGGGACTCTTTTTTTAGACCGCCCTGTCGGCCCCATCGGGACCGGAGAGCTTTCGTACATTGTTCTCGCCTCTCGCGTAGGCGCACGCTCTCGCATTTATCCCGCTTTCATCCGACCTATTCTCAGCTTTCAGCCGGGAAACTCTTGCCAGCCGCGCAGCCGAGAATGTCGTGCCAGGCACACCCGGCACTATTTATCTGTAATTATACGCGCGCCATTACAACGCGCCAGGGCGAATTAATATGTCGATTATGTGTGTACATGTTACGCGCCGCGTACGCGCAACGGCGAGGAGGACACACGCGGACACAAACAAAAAGCAAGCGTGAGGTACGGGCGAACAGACGGACAAATGAATAATGTAACAGCTGAATAAGCGCGAAATATCGACCGGGAACGGGTGAATTAATAAATGAAAGGTAAAACGTAGGCAGGCTAACGGAGGGCAGAGCTTCTTCGCAGCGTGGTCGCGCGATTCACGACCCGTCACTTATTCGAAAGAAGCATTGTTGCGAGGTCGATCGCACGAGTATGCTGAATCAAAGCGCTCTCCATCGAAGATCGCTGAATTTTCACAGTAATCGCCAGACGTGAGGAGAAATTTCGCCGGCGATTCCCGCGATCGATCAGACGCGGATATACGGGGGCGAGAGACGTTCGTCGACGAGGCGGAGATAGCAGAGAGACACGTTTGAGGATTAAATCTCTCTCTGTCTCGCGTGAGGCTTCACGTTTACACGAGACCAGATCGTGCTTTCCGGCATCGTAGGTATTCGGCTGTGACGAGCGGCAAATGGAATTAACGTCGTTTACGTAACGCGGCGATGTCTCGATGAAGATTAGTGCCAGCGTCAGTTTTCGATTACCGCAAGTCCGAAAGTTAGCACGTCGAATGCCGCGGCGGCCACCGGCGATCGGCGATTCTATGACTATTGCGTCTTGTTAAGAATGTATTTTGCCCAAACAGAAATCAAAATAGTGGAAAAATTACGAATGATTTTGATCTATGTTGCATTGAAAAGTGACAACCAAAGCTTGACGGTAATTCAGAGTCTGGGTCAAAAGTTATTCCACTTTGAAGGAAGTTACAAGGTGAATTGAGTTTGATAAGAATTCGATGAAACTCGTACTTGTACTGCGTACATTGCACATTGAAATGTTATATATTATCTCTCATTGCTCGTGCACTTTGAAAAAGTTTTAGCCATTCGAGAGCTGAGATATCTATAATTACAGTTGACACTTTTTAGAGTAGAGACTGTGATTAGCGTGGTATTTTTATTTTCTATTTCTATTATCTTCGGAACTAAAAGTGAGATTTTAATGAAAAACTACTATGATATTGAAGTCTAATGCCTAAACGTCATATAAAAATTTCAAAGTTATTGACCATTTTGTTTTGAAAATATAGCTGTATAAAATTCACAACTTATAATGATATTCGAAATATATATACATATACACATATTTAAACACTTATATACTTCTTTCTATTACCTGTGCATTTCTATTAGATCAAATGATACGTTAATATAGCATTAGTCGTCGTCATCGGACGAAACTGCGCGGTCATATTTAATTGACTATATTTTAGAATAAATAAATATTACGTGTATACATTTTGATCAAGAAACGGAAGGGACTTTTGCACAGATCATCCGACGCACATTCGGGTTTTCCGCGAGAAATCGAAGCGGTGAATATCGACGGTGGAATATGCACGCGCTCGGCCCATTGTTGACACGTAATTGCCACCCGCGCGCGTGTCAACTGGCTGATTGACTGTGCGATTAACTCGCGCGCCTCTGTGTGTTTGCAGATATTCCTGCTGCTCTTCCTGCTACTGTATATCACGAGTCACGCGCTGATCGAGCGTTTCAGACGGCGCGATCGCGAGGACTATCTCTCAGTGGACGAGGATGAAGCCACCGTGTACAAAATCAGTCACAGTCTCTGCACGGTCGCGCTGGCGGTTTCTATCGGCGCTACACTCCTCCTTCCGGTGTCGATCGCCAGCAACGAGGTGCTCATCCTCTACCCGAACAGCTACTACGTCAAGTGGCTCAACAGCTCCCTCATCCAAGGTAGATCGGCAAGTCTGATCGGATCGGAGTGACTTTTGTGTTAAAATTAACAAAATTCCGATAAAATGTCCTTATTTCCTTATCGTCCGAATATTGTCTTACCGTCTCTCTCACTCTGTCCTCTTCACCGGCAGGTCTGTGGAATCTCGTGTTCCTGTTCTCCAACGTATCGCTCTTCGTGTTTCTGCCCTTCGCGTACCTCTTCACGGAGTCGGAAGGTTTCATGGGCCACAAAAAGGTAAGGCGGGGCCGACTTAGCATTAATTAACATGGTGCGGTAATGCGATGCTGCGCCCCTTCCGTTTCGCTTCACTGAAGTAATCACTGAAGTAATCCCGGCCGTAGGGCGTGATGGCGAGGGTGTACGAGACACTGACTGTTCTCTTTCTGCTGGGCACTCTCGTACTAGGAATGACGTACGTGCTATCTGCCCTCCTAGACTATCAAAACTCGAGTTTGCACACATTGCTCAGTAAGTACACACGCACGTCTTGTAGGGATTTAACATGAAGACGCGTGGCGATCAAACTAACCCGCGTAAACGAGTCGAGTGTTTCTTGTTCTCGTCGGCGACATTTTTGTTTTTCTTTCGAACCTAGCGTCGGTAGCTCGAGAATCTCGGCTGTTGAAACAGCGGTTGATTTATTCCTCGAAAAAGTCACGCGTCCGCTTACGGGCTTAAACCTGTCTCGAGGTTTTCGAATTCTTGCCGCGGTAATAAAGATAACGACAATCAGATAAAATGGAATGGTTGAATTATCTCACGATTTTGAAAAAAAAAAAAAAAAGCGACTGCTCTTTGTTTCGTGGAAGCTGGACTTTCTCTCGTGAGAAAATCGTCGAATTCGCGAACAACGCGCGATAGATTACTCGGCTCGGCGCGAGTGAAGTGTGAGTTTCGATTGAACCTCAAACGCCGTTTCTTCGCGCAGATTTATGGAGTTACTATTTGCCTTTCCTGTACTCCTGCGTCTCGTTCGTCGGCGTTGTGATGTTGTTACGTGAGTATCCCCGTGAGCTATCGCTCGTTATCGTAATCAACGTAACAGCCTGGTATCAGACGCCAGTATTTCGTAGAATTATCGATCGATTAATCCTCGACGTCCTCTCACTTCCACAGTATGTACTCCCGTGGGATTCGTGCGACTGTTCGGTGTCGTCGGATCTTTTCTGGTTAAGCCTCAGTTTCTGAAGAACTTGGACGAAGAGTTCTACGCTTACAGGCTGGAGGAGGATTGCATCCGCCGGCGGTAAGCGCTCTCTTCCTCGAGACGCTCGCGTCTTCATAGACAGTCCGGCGCGATAATTCAGCGCGTGCATTCAGTTTGCAGCATGTGAAAGCGACTGGCAAGTCGTACGTGTCACCGGTGCCGATGTCTCCGCCGGGTTGCGGCTCGTTGACGGAGGAGGACGAGCCGTTGCTGAGCGTGAATCCGAGTCTGATGTGTCTCAGGAATGGTGCTTTGCAGAAAGGCCTCGCCGAGAGGCTAGAAGACATTCAGAGACAACGGCAGCTGTTGGACCGGCAGAGGAGCACGTGGTGGGTCAGGCGTACGCTGTTCTACCCGCTGGCGATGCTGGCTCTGCTTGTCTTGTCTACCGCCACCGCTCTGCTGGCAGTGCAGAACACACTGGAGCTGCTGATAGGCATTAAAGCGCTGCCTCTGAGCACAAGGGTACGTGGTGATTTCACGTCTGAAATACAAAGGGGAAGATCAAGTTCCGATACCAATTTTCCCACTTCCCTATTTCGCTCTTAACATTTTTCTTCTCAACGTTCGGGTGAAACGAGATAACGAGCGTGATTCGCCACTCAGAAAGAAATATTAGATATCTCTCAATTATTAACATTCGAAGATAGTCGGGAGTCTTTGGAATTCTTGTGAGAGATGATAATGACCGAGTGATCGCGCTCGCTTCACAGCAATTTACACTCGGCATCAGTTCACTGTCGAAGCTCGGACCCATCGGAGCGACGATTGAAGTGGCGGTGATTCTGTACTTGGCCGTGACCAGCGCGATCGGCTTGTACGCGCTGCCAGGCGTGAGAAGGGTACAGCCGAAGTTGCACTCGACGCAGCTCACTCATCTCATCGCGAATTGCGCCCTCCTGCTCGTTCTCAGCTCAGCGTTACCGCTGTTATCGCGAATACTAGGTGAGTATCGTGTGAGATTCTCCTCTTCTACGTCCTTCTCGCGAATATGAATGTCACTCCAGCTTTCTCCTTGCGTGCTCTTCAGGAATGACGAACTTTGATCTGCTCGGTGACTTCGGGCGCATCGAGTGGCTGGGCAACTTCAAGCTCGTGCTTCTCTACAATCTGATCTTCGCGACCGCGGCGATCGGTTGCCTGGCCACCAAGTTCAGCGCTACCGTGCGCAAGGAGATCTACGCCCGGCTGAGGAGCAGCCTGCTCGGCATTTTCAGAACGGACGCGAAGAGAGGCTTGTCAGGGATGTTTTCTACAAAGGAAGATTAGACTGATTTAGATTGTAATTAATAAGCGGAGAGAGATGAGACGCCGGGACCTTGCGAAAGTTTTCCTGGTTTGCGAAAGATATACTTGTAGGGAATTACAAGATGTTTCTCGCGACTCAAGTCGGAGAGCTCCCGACACGCGCGGTGTGAGACTCCGGAAGGGTGCTGACGCGAAGGACCACCGCGGATGATCGTCGCGGATGCTCCTCGATCATTTTCTTGAATGATACTTCTCGATCGCTCGCGGAAATATTCACTCCGGAAACTCCTCGTCCGCGCGCGAGTTTCCCCGACGAAGCTATAATTACGACGTCGAGAATTCCGATTGATTCACTGAGAGAGAGAGAGAGATTCAATTCTTGAATCCGTATTACGTCTCGAAACTAGTTTCGATGGAAACGCGATTAAGTACAAGTCTTGGTCGGTTAGATCGTTCGCGCGTTTAAGCCTCGGGCGATCTTCGCCCAGACTGTTGGATATTCCCCATTGATTTATATTCGGCCACAAAGGCCACGACGTCTGGAATCCTGAAATTCGGAATCTCGCGGCCGAGAGAATTTCGTTCGGCAATCCCCGTTCGTGTCTGCGCGCGAACTCCCTCATCTCGATATCCCCGGAGTTCTTCTCCCGCGCGTTCGAATCCGCAGCCGATCCAAAAAGCTGTTATCACATTCGACAGCCAACGAAACTTTCGTAAGAGCCTAAAGTTTGTCGTTTAAAAACGATCAAGCAAATGTTATAGCAATTTTTTGGTCGTTACAATAACAACATGCGAGGCCAGTTAGGACATGTCAGACGAGGATGTGACAGGGATGTCACGTCCGTGATGCGTATAAGCCTTATATACGATACACTTTTTTCTTCTTTTCTTTTTTTTTTATTTATTACGTTATGTTACTCTTACTAGTTTTAAGTATATTATAGCTGAGTCGAGCTGTAATCAGCTCGTCGTGGAAGCGGACGTGTGTATGTTGTAATATGGAAGAATCGATTCATACGCGTTGCCGAAACGTACGACTTCGAATACGCACCCAATGAGCGCATATGCGGGATGATGCCCACCAAAGAAATTTCAATACCGACGTGGACGATTCTGCGAGGGGAATCGTCGTCGGTAGACGAACATTTGAACTCGGTCTATCAAATTTTACGATTTTCGGTCTCTCGTTACGATTAAAAAAATTATATATATATGCATATACTCATATATATATATATGTATATATGTGTGTGTATGTGTATGTATATATGAGTATATTTTAATTTAAACAGTAACTTTTAACGAATAATTTATTGAAGATTTATTTGATGAGTTGTCACGTACGAAGTATGAAATGTGCCAGAAGAGTTCTTAGAACACGAATGAGTTGCAATAAAAATGAAATTTTAAGAGAACCACTGTCTTTCGTTTTTTTTTTTCTAATACAATACACAAGTAGTATTTTATTGTTTTTTCTCTCACAACACGGAATTCACATATTCACAGGATGTACGTGTATATGTAATCGCGATGTTGATTCTACAAAACTAGAAGTTAACATCGAATATAAACACCGAGTCTTTGTATAAAGAAAAAAAATCGGAATGTCTACTATGTACACTTGGGATCTTCGTATTTATATTTCACAATTTTTCAGAATATCCCTAGACTCGCACTCTGGTTCACGTCGCTCGGATGTGATCATCTTCAGGCCAGCATTCTTCAGTGTGCCTGAGATAATCTGAAACTTGATACCGTGACGTACGATCTTATAATAGCCTGGTTGTGACAAGTCCACCACAGTGGAACCAATTCTATCACTTAATTTCTGCCTACTCTTCGATATTTCGTAAAAGATGCCACTGAGCTCGGGCCACAACGCGGAGAACTCGTCGGGATGCACACTGCTCGGCTCGTTGCTGACGTTCGCGCTGGTAAGCGCGATCGGGCCGACAATTTTCGCTACGTTAAGCATGAACTTGGAATTCGGCACGCGGATACCCACACTGTCGGTGTCGGGGTTGAGCGCGGGATTCAGGCAGGATTTACGTTTCAGGATTATGGTGTAAGGTCCGGGAAGCAGGTCCTCCAGTAAACGGTGCGGCAAGTGGTCAGTGACCGCCCAATGTGGCACGTCGTTTACGTTGCCCAGGCAGATCGCCAGTGGTTTCTTCTCGTCCCGTTTCTTGATCTCGTACAGTTGCTCGATCGCGAATATGTCAGATGCCAGAGCAGCCAATCCGTAGATGGTATCCGTCGGTACTGCGATCACCTTGCCCTGCTGCAACAGAGTCGCAGCCATGGTGATGCTTCTGTTGCCGCCGCATAACCAGTGCTTCTCCGTCGGTGAAATCAGTTTCAGCTCTGATTTGGCATTATTCATGTTCTCTTTTATAGGACCCATCATGGCTGGTTTCATGAGGCTTCGAGTCCAAATGGTGTTACCTATCACGGTCAGACACTGTGAAAGAAAAGAGATTATTAAACAATTTTTACTTTACTTTTTGGGAGATAAATACTTGAAATATTTTTGTAATACACTACACATGTGTACAAAGGCTTTTTATAATACTGAACTTTCCACTGCTATATGCGATCGGTATGCTGGACTACCTAACCTCAAAAACCCGACACGTGTTTCACAGCCGACGTACATTCGCACAAACATTCTTCCGTATTGATTAGAACGTTGTAATAATATAAATTCCCGGATCAGGCGATTTTGCAAGACGTACCTGCGAGTTTAACCCTCTCGCCAGGTATACATGCACTTGGGGTCGCAGCATCGATAAAAAATAGTCATCGGCTCATCGGCGGAACGTGTCTGCAGTTGCATGTAGTAGGCACGAGGATGCGAACACTGCGGGCAACGTTCGTCAGTGGAATCTACACCCTCCCATGCCGCGCTAGAGCTCTGCACATCAATGAACTCCTTGCGCTTGTAATAAGTGCGCGAACTGATCTTATGTGTGATGTTGTGAATGTACGGGCACGTGGAACACGCGAACCGGTGCCCTTGGGGCCCTTGTTCGATCGAGAGAAGATTACCGCAACGTGGACAGAAGCGTAATGACATGGCCGTTCTCACGTTTTAATTGTGTTGTACTTCTTCGGGTGAGGAATTTCTCGTGTTGTATTTCTTCAACGAGGAATTTCTCGCGTTGTATTTTTCGATGAAGAATTTCTTGCTTTACGTCTCTTCGCTCTCCGTTTAAGAAGCGTGCATGATGCGCGCTTACACCGTACTTTCCGCCACTACGGGAGTAAGGAGGAATGAAACAACAAGAGGGAGGTAGTGTCGCCAGAGTTGCGTTCAGAAACACCATACTGAAGATAAAGTGGATTTTAATTAACCAATCGGTGCAAAAAGAACGAAGATTTCTTCATTACGATTGGTCAATTAAATATCACTCTATTCTTTGTGTGGTATTTCTGAACGCAGCTCAGGACAAGAAATTTGTATACCAAGTGTCAAAAAATGTTCCAGACTCCTTTTTTGCACTGTTTACAGAACTATTGGCTTCTGCCAATGCGGGGAGAGGGAGGGGTCAAAGTAAAAATGATATACATTTATATTATATAATATACAATAATTTAATGATATAACAATGCAAGCTTGACTTGACTTTTCTTGCATTCTTATTCGAAAGTGCCATTTCAACTGTCTTTGTACTGTGCCCACACTTGCCCACACACTAGAATCGGCGAATTTCACAATGTGTACATTTCAGTGTTCACATTTCCTGAAATAATATAGCAATTAGCTATAAAGAACAAAATTGAAGCCCGTATCAGATTACGAATTAGGATTGAGATTGGATTGAAACTTGACCAATTGGAATAAAATTCACTAACTTGACTTATTTGTTATATTTTCTGTGCACTTTAAATAATTATATTCTTATTCTCAGTACAAATGTGGCAGATCGCAGACAAACATTGTGAAAAAGCAGAACGTAACATTAATAACATAAACATTTTTTAGGTAAGAGAGCAATTATAGCTGTTATTAATGTAATTGAAGAAATTAGTTTATAATACATCTATATTAGGAAAACTTTTAGTAAATAAATATATAAAGTTATTAATAGTGCTTACGATTTTAAAACTGCAATTATTGTCATCCTTTTCTCTTTTACCAAAACAGTTTTTGAATCCTGCGTTGCGAGTTATATCTGATTTCATATTGAAAGCCTGTCTCTCATATTGGAAGATCTGTGTTTATAATGAAATTCAAGTCAAGATTCGGGAATTACTGCTTGGGTTTAGATACGAAACCTTTCCTCTACCTGCAAAGTAGTCTCCTCAAAGGTCGTGATGCGTCTTTGTTGCTCATATATTTTAATCTTCTTCTCTTATGCAATATTTTTGTTTGAATCTTGTAATCCAGGTTTTACTTGCGGAGAATGTAAAATCTTTGCATAAAAATGGGAATGCTGCAGCCATCGCCCACTGTTGCAGTGTTCTCGTTGATACCTGATAAATCAAGTATGAGAGAATGTTATTCAACATGCAATATTTTAATTTGATTTCTGCATATATTTCTCTACATATATTTTAGTTTAGAACTATACCTGCTCAAGATGCTCTTTGGCTTCTTTAAATCGTTCATATGTCTCTGTTTCTATATGTTTCCATTTGTCAACTACTGTTCCACCCCGTTTAATGTCGTTCTTCCATCGGGCCAATTCTTTCTTATCTCTTAAGCGTGAGCAACCTCGTTTTTTTAACGTCTTGAGTGACCACTTTGGATGTGCTTCTGCAAGAGCAACCACTTTTTCTTTATAAGATAACGGAATATAATCTATCGTCGTGTCTAATTGCTCCGCAACAAAATCAGGACTTTTCCTGTCTGGTTCTTCCTCGCGCTATTCACAAAGATTTTATCGTTATATAAAATTTTACCGTTCCAATGACTACAGAAACGAGGTGACTTAAAAAAGATATAGTGAACAGAAAATTTTTTTTAAAAGCATACCTCCTCATCAGCTACTTTATTATCACTTCCTTCAAAACTGAAAGAACCTTCGTCTGTTAACAATGTTCGGTGAATATCTTGAGGAATGTCTTCCAATATTACCTTAATTTCTTTGAAAATCTTTTCGCCCATCGCGACAGAAGCGGATGATATTTCGTTGGGTGGCGTGTCTGTTAAAAGATTCGCCGATCTCAGCAAACGTTGGCAATAGTTTAGAGCGTTCGTTACAGTGCCCTTCAACTTTTCATTCGTCTCTTGCACATCCTCCAATTCCTCTGATTCCGTTTTAATATCTAACTCAGATTCAATCTTCACCGGACTGTAGCCTGGCTCTTGCATTTTTTCGAAATATCAGGTGTTTTCTCCTGTGTGCTGTATTATTTTCTCTGTGTGACTGACGTGAAACGCGCCCCCACATTGATTCAGTAGCAGAAAATCGAAACATAAAGTGAGATTCCGATGATAAAACAGGAAGGAAGAGGGAGAGAGAGAGAGAAAGTGTTACATGTCGCTGTTTTATCCATTTTTAGTAGATTATAGAACCACTTTCAGCAGATTAAAAGTATGCGTTTAAAAAATTAATCCATATTATCAAGTAAAGAGAATAATAACTTTATAAAACATATCTACATAACAATTCTACATTAACAAACTGCAATGAGCACTGCCTTTGTTTCCGTCAGATTACACGTGCCAAGAGAGACAGTATCTAAGCATCCCCATCTTTGTCTGCTGTGTCCGTCTTTGTCTTATCTTAGCCTTTATAGACTATATAGCATGTTAGTAAGACAGAGAGCGAGATACTACTTGGACACGGGCCTTTGTCTCGCGAGCCTATTTACAGGCCACGGTCCCCGCCAATGCTCTTTCCTGTATGTTACCATAGTTCAATGACTTATTGTAGATCCCGGGCTTACCGTCTACGCTCGCCATGTTTCACGGTCGAAACGTTGAATGGCATGGCGTGCAAATGTTTGGTTTCTTGTTACGTGAATGGCCGGTGACGCGAGGAAGGATCTGACGCGATACAAAGGCGATTTTTTCGTCTCTGAAGCGACGAGATGATCCGTAGCGCCGATCGCACCTCGTAAATGCGATCTTTCGGATCAGAATGCATGGACCTTGCAATTAGGATGGCTGTTGTGCACGAGAGGAGCATGTTGTTTGTTTGCGTTCTCTGCTGCCTCCTTTCTTCTTGTTATGGTGAGTCGCACTACGTGCGTACAACCGCGTCTTTTTAGGCCTTAAGGAGGTTCTCCCTGCTTCTTACTTTCCTCTCCTCTTCGTTTCGATATATTTTTTTTCCTCCGCACTCGGTGATCATTTTATTTTATTCACAGGATCACCCTTTCTATTGTTCGCCACCCACAAGGACATCCGGGTGACTAACGTGTCTCACAGCAACAAAGTTAATGTTATCGTCAAGGACCTATCGGAAGGTGCAGCTTTAGACTTTTATTATGAACGAGGACTGATTTGCTGGTCCGATAGTGGCCTGGAGATGATACAGTGCATACAAACCAACGGTACACACACCGGCGAGCGTATGACTGTGGTAAACTCCAGCCTGATATCTCCCGACGGTTTGGCGTGTGATTGGTACACTGGCAAATTATATTGGACAGACGGAGAGAAGAACAGAATTGAGGTGACCAGCATCGACGGTCGCCACAGGAAGGTCCTCTTCTGGACCGATATCTATCAGCCACGGGCGATAGCGTTGGCACCTATGAGAAGGCTGTTGTTCTGGACCGATTGGGGCGACGTACCCAAGATAGAACGTGCCAGCATGGACGGTGATCCGGATACGCGCGAAGTGATCGTGTCCGACAACATATTCTGGCCAAACGGTTTAACTGTCGACTACGAGAACGAGCTGATCTACTGGGCGGACGGTAAGCTGTGGTTCATCGCTGTAATGAACTTCGACGGCGGAAATCGTCGCCCAGTAATCGAGCACGGTCTGGATTACCCCTTCGCTATCACCTATTTTGACCAGCGACTGTACTGGACAGACTGGAAGACCTGGTGCATACACTCGTACGACATGCGTCAGATGCAGGCGAATCCGCGCGAACTGTTTCACGGCGAATTCATACCTGGTATAGTACACACATTTCCTGCAATAAGATATGCACAGAGTGTGTTTTTTTGTCTACTACCTGGGAAAACCTGGAAAAACCTGGATTTCTCGGGAAATTTTAAATTAACATTTCTGTCTACAAATCACGTCGCGTTGTTCATAGACAAAATATTGTGCGGTTGATTGAATTTTATTCATTAACATTCCCTTCGTTATTAAGAATCATGGAAAAAAATGGTTCGAGAATTCCTTACTTGATTCTTAATTATTAATTAGTTAATAAGGAATAGCGCTGTATAAATCGTAGCCAGAAACTTGTTTTCGGGTTGAGTAGACGCACCCTGTTTGTGCGCTTATCAGCTTTGTCGGGAGGAACGTTCGCGAGATTCTCTTATGGAGGGCTGTTCTTTTCTTGAAAAAAAAAATAGGCGACATCGAGGTGTGGGACCCGAAGAGGCAGCTTCAGGGCAACAATCCTTGCCGGCAGAACAACGGCAACTGTTCTCATCTGTGCCTGTTGAGCACGTCGAAGCGCGGCTACACCTGCGCCTGCCCGACCGGCGTGAAGCTGCTGGACAACTTCACGTGCGCCAAAGGCCCGGAGGAATTGCTGCTGATCGTCCAGAGGAGCGAGATCTGCCGTATATCACTGGATTCGCCTGACTACACCAACTTCGTGTTGCCGCTCACCGGCATCAAGCATGCCATCGCGATCGACTTCGACCCGGTGGACGAGATGCTGTATTGGACCGACGAGCAGGCCTTCGCGATCCGTCGAGCGTACCTCAACGGCTCGGGTCAGCAGGACGTGATCGTGACGGAGGTGATGAATCCGGACGGCATCGCAATCGACTGGGTCGCCCGGAACGTGTACTGGACCGACACCGGCACCGACCGCATCGAGGTGGCGCGACTGAACGGCACCAGGCGCAAGGTCCTGGTGAACGATGACCTGGTGGAGCCGAGGGCGATCGCGGTCGCGCCCAATCTCGGCTGGATGTTCTGGACCGACTGGAACGAGAAGCGGCCGAAGATCGAGCGCAGCAACTTGGACGGCACCGACAGAATTCTGCTCGTCACCAAGGACATCCTTTGGCCGAATGGCATCGCCCTCGATCTGGACCGCTTGAAGATCTACTGGTGCGACGCTAAGACCGACAAGATCGAGGTGTCCAACATGGACGGCAGCGATCGCCGGGAAGTCATCACCGACAATCTGCCGCACCTGTTCGGCCTCAGCCTTCTAGGTGACTATCTGTACTGGACCGATTGGCAACGGCGCAGCATCGACCGGGCGCACAAGCTCACCGGCGGCGATCGCGAGGTAATCGTCGACCAGGTGCCGAACGTGATGGGTCTCAAAGTCGTGCATCTCGGCCGAGTGAACAGCACCACCAATCCATGCGGACGCGACAACGGCGGCTGCGGCCATCTGTGTCTCAATCGGCCCCGCAACAGGAACGTCTGCGCCTGTCAGATCGACTACGAGCTCACCAAGGACAAGCGCACGTGCGTCGTGCCGGACGCGTTCCTGCTCTTCGCCAGGAAGGACAACATCGGCCGCATCAGCATTGAGAACGTCAACAACGACAACATCATTCCGATCACCGGCCTCAAGGATGCCAGGTTTGTCGTAACGTCGTCAGTCTGTTGTAGAAGTCATTGGTTCGAAAAATTGAATCAATGTAACTTTTAATTATTATAACGAATATGCACGGAACCAGATGCTCCGTTCGCGTAACTGATTTTTCCGTCGTCCAAGTTGTTCAGACGAGAACCTGGTTTTGGGAATTAAAAAGGATTCTTCTATGAAAGATTAATTTCTACTCGGTCAGTTTTTCCTCGGTTATCTCGATTTGTTAAAGCAATCGAATTCTTAAACGCATATTTCGAACGATATTTTTATTTTCGATCTCAACTTCGTCACACGCGAACCGAAACCTTTCGTTCCGTGTCCTCTCCTCTTAATTCATGCCCGAATTAGCAAGACGCCCGCTTCCTTTCTCCAGCGCCCTGGACTTCGATTTCGGCGAGAATTGCATTTATTGGACGGACATCAAGCTGAAAGTCATCACGCGTGCCTTTATAAACGGATCGAAAATAGAGAGAGTGGTCGATCTCGGCTTAGAGTCGCCGGAGGGCCTCGCGCTCGACTGGATCTCGCACAATCTTTATTGGAGCGACACCAACACGCGTCGCATAGAGATGATAAGATTAGAGGGCGGCGCCAGGCGAGTTCTTGTGTGGCAGAATCTTATCGAGCCCAAATGCCTGGCTTTGGATCCCGAGAGGGGGTGAGTTCCTTTCTTTTACATCGTTGCGTTGTCTCGGGTGATTTCACCTGGGACACGTAAGCAGGGTCACTGACGAAATATATCGTATTTCCTTGTTTCTGTACTCTCGAGACGATACTTTGCACGAAGTTTCTTCTTTATCTTCCGGATAATCTCGAGACAATAAGTGTCCTTACTTACTTGCTAATCACTTCACCTCTTCCACCTGTTACCATCAGTCACATGTACTGGGCGGAGTGGGGCGGCTCGGGGAACATCGAGCGGGCGGATTTGGACGGCACGCAGCGGCAGGCGATTGTGCCGGGGATCGGCCGTGCGAACGGTCTCACGATCGACCACGCGGCCCGCAAGCTATACTGGGCGGACCTGCAAGCACCGGCGATCGCCTGCTTCAATCTGCAGACGAGGCGGAAGGACATCATAATCACGCAGAACATAGTCTATCCGTTCAGCATAACGCAGTACGGCGACTACATCTATTGGACCGACTGGAACACCGGCGACATCGAGCGGGCTGACAAGAACACGGGCGCGAATCGCACCAGGATTCACGACCAGTTAGAGTCGGTGACGGATCTGCTGGTGTTCCACGCTTCCCGGCAGCCCGGCTGGAACCCGTGCGCGGTGGCGAACGGCAACTGCAGCCACCTGTGCATCGCTTTGCCGAACGCCGCCGGCGGTACGTCGAATTCGCGGAAGTGCGCCTGCCCGACGCACTACAGCCTGGCGCGGGACAACCGCACGTGCGTGTCGCCGAAACACTACATGATTTACAGCCTGCGCAACACGATGGCGCGCTACCTGCCGGACCTGCCGGACGACTGCACGGACATGGTGCTGCGGCTGCAGGGCCTGAAGAACGTACGGGCGATCGAGTATGACCCGGTGACGCAGCACGTCTACTGGGTCGACGGCCGCAACTTCGTCATCCGCCGTACCCTGGAGAACAAGACCCAGCACAGCGGCACGGTGGTCGTCGCTTTGGGCTCCGGCCATCCGTTCGACCTGGCCTTGGACCCGCTCGGCCGGCTGCTCTTCTGGTCGTGCATGACGAACGAGGTGATCAACGTGACGCGGCTGGACAACGGCTCCATGCTGGGCATTGTGGTGAAAGGCGACGGCGAGAGGCCGCGCAACGTCGCGGTGCACCCGCAGCAGCGGCTGCTCTTCTGGACGGACGTGGGCAAGAAGATGAGGGTGTTAGTCAGCAAGATGGACGGCAAGGAACGCGTGACGATCGCGGCGGACCTCGAGCAGCCCAGCGGCCTGGCCGTCGACACCGAGGCGAACATCGTATACTGGTCGAACGGCAAGCTGATCGAGTGCGCCGACTTCATGGGCAACGATCGCCGGACCTTGCTGTCCGTAGCGACGCCGGGCCAGGCCGCGTACTTAACCGTGCTGACGGATTACATATATTGGTACGACCGCGAAAACCAGTTGCTCGAGCGTGCGAACAAGTCGTCCGGATTCGGCAAGCGTACCGTCATGAGCCGCGTGCCCATCACCGACCTACTGACCGTCAACGTGCTGGACAAAATGGAGGCCCACGTCTGCAGCCCCTTCCACCATAATGGCGATTGCTCGCATTTCTGCATCGGCGTTACCTCGCCGCGCTGCGCCTGCCCGCGTTCGTTGGTACTCTCCGAGGACGGGCGCACTTGTCGGGCGGCGCCGGTCTGCGGGACTGACCATTTCACCTGCGTCGCGCCGAGCTCATCGGTCGCCAAGGACTGCATACCGGCCGCGTGGAAGTGCGACGGCCAGACGGACTGCCTGGACGGCAGCGACGAGCTCGGCTGCCCCGTCTGCAAACACGACCAATTCAAGTGCGACAATCATTGCATCGGTATGTGTCTTCTTCAGGTATTGAGAAGGTCTAACCGGGTGTAGCGATTTAACGGACCTTCGAGCCGAGTTGTACAGTGCCGTTTAAATGTTAATATCGTCGCCTTCAGCGTGCATTCTCTCTCTTCGCAATCGCATATCCGGTGTATTCCGCGGTTCACTTCTTGGATACGCGAAATATGCGCGGCCACCGTTGTTCTTTATGTTGTTATTGTTGTGTGTTAATTTTTTGTTATTGTATATTTGTTAGATATAAGGTTGGTGTGCGATGGGACGCCGCAATGTCACAACGGGCTGGACGAAGCCGAGTGTTGCCACGCGAATCAGTTCAAGTGCATCGGAGGGCAGGTGTGCATATCCACCTCGGCCCTGTGCGACGGCTGGGACGATTGCGCTGACGCTAGCGACGAGCTACCGCAAACCTGCGAGAAAATACATCATCGGCAAGAGAGCGTGTCGGCAGTCGAATCCAGCAAAGTGACTTACGTCATTATCACTTTGGTGGGCGTGATTCTGATTAGCGTGACGGTCCTCAGCTATTACTACTGCCGCAGGAAATTCACCGGGAACGAAGGTCTTCCTGATATTCTTCACGACTCGGCGGGCGATCCGCTGTCTCCGAAACCGAACAGAGTGGTTAAGCCGATGTTCGCGCAGAAGAACAACAGGAAGGATCTCAAAGCCGGCATGGAGGCCGTCAGGATGTCCATGCTCAACGGAAGTAGTCTTGGGTCCAGCTATGACCGCAGTCATATCACAGGTATGTCTCAGGAGGCTCTACAAAATCACAGAATTGCTCATTCTCAACACAAGTTAAACGTGATCAGGCTGAAACGAAGTTCGGCCATCAAAGCTAACAATTTCAAGTTCGGATCTACGATAGATATAGTCACAATTTAGTACTTAGAGCAAAGGACTGCAGCAGTGATCAAATTGATCAACCATGATCGTGTTCATTAGATCAATCGTAGTTGGTCAACTTGCTTTCGTCTCAAAACGAGGTTGTAGACAAGGGCTTAGATAGAGACTTGCTACAGCTATTGCAGATACACAAAGCGAATAAATGACAAAACCAAAGCTAGAAACCGACGACGAAGCTCCGGCTCGGCCACAGAACGAATTCACTGTGTGTGTTTCTAGGCGCGTCGAGCTCGACCAGGGGCAGTTCCGCTGGCGGCTATCCCCATGAAACGCTGAACCCACCGCCGAGCCCGGCGACGATCGCCAGCTCTACGCGTTGCTCGAGCAGCAACGCTTCTCGTTACAAGCCGTATCGGCATTACCGAAGCATCAATCAGCCACCGCCGCCGACTCCCTGCAGCACCGACGTCTGCGATGAGTCGGATAGCAACTACCCGTCGCGCTATCGTTACGAAAGCGAGCCTTTCCCACCGCCACCGACGCCGCGTTCGGTCTACCACAGCGACGCGGCGATCAGTTGCCCGCCCTCGCCCAGCTCCAGATCGTCGACGTACTTCAGCCCGTTACCACCGCCGCCGTCACCGGTGCCCTGAGATGAGTCTTGTGGACGAAACCGTGAGCTGACCCGTGGGGATCTTGCGACGAGGAAGCGCGTCTCTCCAACGACTTGTGTCGTTTTGCATTTATCGGTGCGTCTCTTTTTTCTTTCCCGGTACGAAGCGCGCATGTATCGATCACCCGCAAAAGTGCGTCTTCACTTATAAAACCGCGATTCGATTTCCGTCCTACGCGGCTACATCGTTCCCGTTAGAGAACGTGTTTCCTCGCTCGTACAAGTTGCGACGGCCGCTCAAAGTTAGAGAGCGGCGGAACGTTGTTGTTGCTGCTGTTGTTTCATCATCATGATGGTCGACGGGGTGCTCGGTGGGGATCGTGTTCTCGTCTGGTCAAGTTTGAGGGTCGACTTCATCAGTTTGTTCAACCGAATAACTTCGGAATTATTCTTCCAAGAAGGTGTCTGCGACCGACCGTCGCAACGTTACCAATTTTCTGAAATTCGGCTTTCTCAGGAACAGAGAAATTTATGTAAAGGAGAAATTCCATCTTTTTTCTTCATATACTTTATAACCCTTTTTCCATACAGTATCATCAATTTATAACGGACTGCCCTGTATAATAATAATAATGATCATACCATCGTGCCTACCATTTGCATTTGAATAGTTTGTAATGTACAGAGAAAAAAGATTCTCCTATCACCCGGTAGATTTTGTAAATACCTAGAACACGAACGTGTAATTTCCATGAAATTACACGATACCATACTGTAAAAAAATGTACATGACTATAGTATGAAAGAGAAGGAGAGACAGAGATATTTGCTTTGAGTTGCGAATATTTTATACAAGCATTTATCTATTAATCTATTAATTGTGATTTCAAGTTGTATCATTACCTAGTAATTACTAGTAATAACATTATTATTATTATTATGTTATCGTTATAGTTACATGTACATGTTATCTTTTTTAATCGATCTAGCAGTTAACCAAAGGCTGCTTCATATGTTTTAGCAATCGTATTACACAGTAAGACTTTTTCTTATTCTTCATTCTGAGCGTATAGGATCTAGTTTATGTGTAAATTTTTTTTTCTTTTTTTTTTTTTTAATAACTCGGACACGATATAAGAAAACAACGGCCTCTTCCAAAGTTTTACTACGCTTACCATTTTTCTCGCGTTAATAATGTGTAACCAAATAATCGTACATCACCCGTTTTTTTGTTTCTCGTAAGTTCTGACAAATTTCTAACGATATATCATATGCTCGCTTTGGACGAATATGTAAGCGTAAATAATACGAAATAAACGCACATGGAAAATTATAAATCAAGGACTTAGCAATAACAGAGTTGCAGCATACACTATGTATACATTTGTGTTTGTGACTGAGGCGCACTGTGCGATGTACATATCGTGTTAATACTACAGCAGCGTTGTATCTTTAACGCACATGTCCGTTCCTGTAAGTATATAAATGTCAGTTTCAGAAAACTGTGTGCCATAATCATATATACTCGATAGTCCAACTATTCGCATAATGCCGTGTGCTTGTCAGTTTCGTTGAACAAAATATATTCGCGATTGACGCGCGAAGATTCCGAATATGCGTTTGCAAGTGCATTTCTAATATTAGTGCGTACATGTGTGTATATGTGTATGTGTATTGTATATACATATATGAATATATAAATAATATTAAGATATATAAGATATTAACATAATACTCGATATATTCTTACACATCAAATATATATTTTATATATGATATATATAACACATACACACAAAAAATGGAGATCGCGTGTGAATATATGAAACATATAACACGTAGAGATTTGCAAACGTCTAGAGAAAGAAATTTAGATATTATATTTCTTTCTAAATTATTCCATCGTATTCCCAATATTCCATTACGTATTCGCGAATATAATTCGCCCAACACTGGCTACGCGTGTACAAAACATACGAATTGCAAGGACTTTTACCTCGCACTGCCATTTTGAATAGCCTTGAGGAGAACAAACGTACCAATAAATTATTATTCTCGTTTCACATGAAAGACTGAAATTACCGTTCTATATTAATTTTACATCTTTACAGCTAGCGTACGTTGTCTCTTACGTCTGTAGTATATTTGTACAGCGAATAAAAAATTGTTGTTAATGTAAATTTCCTCGAACGATTCCCTCGTAACTCCTGTTTCAACAGTTTCGACGATTACAGGATCAAGGATTATATTATGAGACTTTATATCCGATAATAATGAAAATCAAATAAATCATTTCTTATGATATGATTAATGTATCATATTTAATGAATGAAACATTTCAGATGTCAGTTTTTGTTTTATTTTGAATGAAAGCTTAAACTCAACGCTTTGGGAGCTTTTGTGGTTATCATTGGAGCTTTCAATAAATGACAATATAAATGTTCAATTACACGACGTCGAAATAACGAGAAACATCACACACAAGAATCCGAAAAATTTGACAGAAATTCTAAAGAAAACCAAAGCAAACGATGATACAGAGAGAATATTTATTTCCACTTGTTGAGAGAACCGCGATACTTGCACGATGAGCCGTCTCTCTCATCCTGGGCCGCCAATTCTTCGTCTAAAAGTAACTCGAAATTTCCCAGAGCCTCCGAGGAAGGCGATTTGTTCCACTTCACGCTAATTGGACAAATCTCTCGTTGAATCTCGTAAGTTCATTCGAGTTTAATCAGATATCGTGTACTTACTCGGGCATGCCGTCTGGAGGCAGGACCACCGACACAATATTATCGATCAGTTTGTACTTTAAGATCCTATCATTCACTGTAGTAGACGTCAAGGACGGTGAAGCGTTCACCTGATGGAAGTCGAATATAATATACGGCTAACTGGATGAATTTTAACGGATCATCTTAACTCTGCTTCGCATCGTTCGTCACGTTAAATACAACAGAAAAAAAGTAGTGACGATTATGAGGTAGAAAACGTATTATAAGAAAAAAAAAAATAGACGAGCTGACAAAACAAGAATGAAAAATTAAGAATGTCAGCGGTGATACTTGAGAATCACAAAACGGTGACGCAAGCTCATTTCATTTGAAACGTGAAAATAAACAGATCCCCGAACGGAGCGGCAAATGTTGACGACAGAACAACAGATAGATTGTACCTCGATCAGCCACGGCTTTAACTTGTTGTCGATGATGATATCGTATCCGTAACATTCGAAACAATGCCGGTCGTTCGCCATCACCGGCGCTACCGCTTTCAGCGAGTGCACGATGCACCATGAAATATTCGCGAATAGCTTCTCCGTGACCATCTTGCCGCGCGTGCTCTCCAGATACAAACGCAGGTTCTGCACACTTAGTTTGCCGCCGTGTTTGCTGTTGTACTCGTCCTGTTAAAGGTCCACAGTTGACGACGATCTCGATCTCGCGAACATGCGGACGGTACGCACTCTCCGATTTCATGAATTTATATATCCAGCGAATCTTGCGACAGAGAAAAATTTCCGGAGAAGCTACGCGATTCTACGAACTGCGAAGCTCGTGAAATCGAGAAACACGTTTGTACAGGAAGAATATAGTTTTAAAAGTTCAAAAAAAAAACTCAGTTTTCTTCCATTTTTTCTGCGGATTTCTTCGATTTTTCTGCCTCAAGGGTAGAAAAGTTCATTTGAAAAAAATTCATGCGTTCGATCAAAGTTTGCTACGTTTACTTTTTTTTCTGCGAAGGAAATGAAAAACCAGAAAAATCCGCGGAAAAATTAGGGAGAATCGGTTTTTTCCCCCAAGCTTTTAAAATTATGGAAGAATCGCTCTATATAATGTGACAAACATGCAGGGTATACGTACGCCGTGCTTTTGCACGGACACATTCGTGAGGTGCACATACATATTGTCGAGTTCTTGCACGCTGGTGTCGTACTTAACGGTGCAGAAGCGACAGAACCCCAGCTTGAAGAGATACGCTTTGAGCGGTCGGAAGGACGTGATGAGGACGTATAACCGTAGATCGAACTTCTTGCTGCCGATCAACAGAGGATTGTCGATGTACCTGTCGCGAATGCCGTTAAGAAAAAAACCGCATTAGAGACAGGATTGGCGCAGTACTTGTTATGAATTATTAGTGAAACATTGGTTGAGATCGCACACCTGGATATAACGTACGAATCTTTCGTCAGGTTCGGATTGAACGGAGTCTTCGCTTCGCGCGACCACTTCTTCAGCTTGCTCAGTTTATTGATGAGGAATATCCCAGCGCCCTGCGACTTGCCGCAAGGTTTCATTATCCATGTGCTCTGCGGGGATTTGCGGTACTCCTCCACGAACATGTTGTAATCTGAGTGGATAAAGAGAAAAAAATGTCAAATTAATCGGATATTGAAGAATTAAAAGTTGGATGTTTAATAAAAAGATTTTGAAATATCAGATACCGTAAAATTTGCCGAATAAAATTGAAAACTGGCTTTCTAAAGAAAAATACTGAAATCATAATGAGAGTAGAGTTTTCTGCTAAAATATTGATGAAATAATGATTCAATAAGGTCACTCAGAGAGATATTTTCAAATACATTTCGGTAAATTTTCATTATATTTCCAGTAAAATATTTTCGTTAGGCTTGACTGCATATTTTTGATTTTGCATTCCACAAATTAAGTGTAACACCGACCGAGAAGTGTGTAATAATCAGGAAGATCGCGTTGATCATTGCATGGAAAATACCTCACCTGCAGGTAAGACAAAGGTAACTGGTATGAAATCGAGGTACAAATACTTTCCCGGGCCTTCCGCGCGCTCTGCCAGAGGATTTCCTTCGCGCTCCAGGTCCTTTCGATATCGCTTTATATTTTTCACCAATAGATCTTTCCGTGTAAGCTCGTAGTGGTTTGGGAAATGATTGATGATCCTGATATAATCGCTTACTTTTACAAAATATCTCGAATATCTTCTTTGGAACGTTCCTGAGACGTCCAAGCAAGTTTCTCGATTTTATTTATCATTAATAATACAACCGCCTTACTGATTGTCGTCCATTCTGTATCCGGTTTCAATGCTGAAGATATTTCTGCAGGATTGCGTGGCAGCCCTGTAACAAATATAACATTTATAATAAGCATAGAACTATCATTTTGAATTGAAATTTTGAAAGTTTCAGGTTTATGAACATTCTTCCAAGCATTTTCCGATTAATTTATTTATTATATATCAGACAGAATAATATTTTTCCTCTTATGCCTGATCGTTTAGATTTGTTTTGTCTTCTGGAAAAGGTTACGCGAACGACGATAAATATATAATAAATGATCGACGCGAAATCCCACATACGCAACGGCGGATGACATTACCAGTAGAAATTCCAATCGTCCTCCGGACCGACCTGCGTCCAGCCACGTTTCTCGAAGTTGTGCACGATTACGGACTTGTCCACATCCGTGCAGAACGTAATCTTCGTCCGATCCATCCCGACCGACGGCACTCTATCGTCAATCGAATTTCTTGAGTGCTGCGCGAATCAACGAACGATAACTATTGCTGTTTGAAATAACCAGAGGACCATCAGTTTTGTCGATTTTGTAGATCGAATTCGAATTGAATTTTTAAAGTCTATTTTGAAATCATCTCGAATCAATTTGATCAAACCAAATTTTGAAAAAATGCTTTGTGAAAATTGCTGAAAACTGCTGAGATGAAGTACACGCGTATACATCGAAGTTAGAAAGCTCAAAAGCAGCGAAACGGGTAAAATTCGACGGGAAGATCCCCTAATTGTTTCGCGAGCGGCATAATTATTATTACAAATTTGTTCGTTTACCTGCCATATATGGCACAGGGATTTGGGTTCGCTGTACGTTTGCTTTCCGCGTTCGTACTTGACGCCATGTTCTCGTACGAACTTGTTTGATCGATACTGTCGCCAATCGACATCACGAATCTCGAATTGGAGTGCGCGCATAATTCAAATGGAATTCTAGCTCACTCGATTCTAACATAACATCATAAAAAAGTATATATATGTATGAAATTGGCGCCTCGTGTCGTCAGCAGTACAAAATTGTCGCGAATTCGTTAAAAGTCAGTATCAATGTAGCCCTATTAACCCTTTGCACTCGAAGGCTCCAGAGCGGAGCCATTTAAAATTTGTCTCAAACTCAAGGGCTCCGCTATGGAGACAATGCAAATAACTTTCAGTTCATAACATAAGGACAAAGACAAATCGTGAAAACTATTGTGTATAGGATATTCCGCTCTTGCTATTTGCATTTGAGTTTGAAGAGTTTGAAAACAAATTTTAAATGGTTCCGCTCCGGAGCCCTCGAGTGCAAAGGGTTAAAACTAAAAAAAAAAAAGAGAGATTAATTATTATTTTTCCAAAGAGGGGATATTAAAGAGTATGTTTAATTGTTCGTATAGATCTTTAAAGATATTTTACAATATATATTACATCCTAAACCAAGGAGGTAAACCAGGTGCCTTGCTAGAATCTATAAAGTTTTTCAAGTCAGCCTTAGATTTATCCACATTATCTTCATCTACCTCTTTCTGTGCTTCCTTGAATAACTGAGGGAATACAAACGACTGATCCTTTGGCTGAAAAAATGCAAGAACCGATCAAAATTCAAGTCTATAATTGCACTTGATGAGTAATTACAGAATAAGTGATAGACAAACCAGTCCGACATAAGCTAATTTCCTGTCATCTTCTTTAATAATGGCTCCACTTTGGAATTCATGCTTCTTTGTTTTCCCAGCAGCTATTCTCGTTCTCACAAACATGACCTTAACATTGTAAATCTTCTCTAGGTAATTTTTTACATCATGCTTTGTCATTTCCATGGAACAATGGAAATTCACCACGTTCGATGGCTGCTTGTATGTTGGAGCAATTAGCTTCATCCAGAAATTGGGCAGAAACACTCTCAGTTGTGGATTACCTCTCTGGTACAGTGGATACCTGTGTCAAATTGTGAAAATTTGAAACTGTACGTTTACATGTTTGGACAAAAAAAATTGTTTCGGCTGAGATACTTTCGTTGTAATGCACGTACTCAAGTGAGCTCTAAAATTTATTGAAGGAGATAAAACGAATTAATAATAGCAATTTCATAACAAATTGACATAGAGCTCTTGATGAACGCATCGAGGTTATATTTGGACTATCGTTCTTCCAAAGTTCCACACGTGTTACGAACCGTTGCCGACGTGACTCACCATCGTGTTGACATTGTGCTGTGACTAAAATTTGACACGCTTTTTATTTCAACGATATAATTTCAATAATATATTATTTCAACAATAACACGAATTTTCTTGAGATATGTATGTACATAAAAGTATGAAGGCTGCTACGTTTTGTGCGCCCCGAATTAGTAACACACCATACAGAACATCTAGTATCTCTAGTAAGTTACTAGTTCGTGCGTGAGTTTCAACATGAAAACTCACACGTTGCTCATGATGCTCAATTCTCATTGAAGACAGCGGTGGTGACTTATAACGGACATTCAAGAACTAATCGAGAGAAATGCGCTCGGTCGAACTTAAGTTTAATCGTAGCCGGAGACGTTTCAACGTTCGGAAAAGAGGCACGTTCCGTGCGGAATTTTGCGATTCACACCAGGAGGATGGAATCTAGCGAAGATTGCGACAACGAAGCGAATACCTTACAAGAGGACAATATCCAACAGACGGAAAACAATGCACCACCGCCATCGCGTCTCATACCTGGATTTGATACGTTCGTCGAATATCTTGAGGTACGTTCACTCGCATGTTAATAAATATTTAGAGCGTGGACCTCGATAAAGAATTGACAAAGTTGCAATTATTCCTACAAATACGTTTACATGACCGATTTCAACTTTTTCAAGTACATAGTAACATAATTTTTGTCATGTAAACAAAATGTTGATGTATATCTTAATATAGGTTAGAACTTTATATATGTATCCTCACTTGTATATGCGCATGTGATTCTTCCAAGTATCAAAAAATTGGTTAAGAAAAAAAATGCTTGATATAATCTTCCATCCATCCACTTGTGTGATTAAATGCAAAGCATTTCAGGAGGCACACGATGCGCTGAAAGCTGGGATCAAAACAGCTAATAATCTACCCACCGGAGAACACTATGATTATTATGCGTTCTTTCAAAGTTTCCAAGATGCCAAAAACAGAGATGTTAAAAGAATACTGGCTACAATACAGGCCATAATGAAATTAGCGGGCAGTTCTGGTAACATTAAACACCGAGACGACGATGAAAAGTTCGACCTCTTATTGGAGACGAATGATTTGCTACTTGATCAGGCAGTAAGCGGTCCAATTTTACTTATTTTTCTACCAAACCGATTTTCCTGCCTGTGTGTTTAGCTTCTTGATAGATCTCAATTATTGTGTGTGCGCAGAATGTGTGGATGGACGAGGAGAGTGGTATTCTGCAGAACCCAGAAGTACAGTTGGTCGTGTCTCAAATAAAGAGACCAACTGTGAACGGCAGTTGGAACACGAAAAAGGCCACCGCGGTCTCGGACGATTCTCAGAATATACGTTTGCTGGGTGGGAAAAACGTGCAGAAGCCACAGTTCATGTTCAAGGACAAGATCGACAATAGCTTGAAACCCTGGCAGCCGCGGATCAAGGAGAAGCCAAACAACCTGAAGCCGCTTGCTCTTTACGTGGAAGAAGGGGAGAACGGCGAGGTCTTCAATCATCCTTACGCGTTCGAGTTGAACAAGTTCGAGACGCCAGAGTGTCAGCTGAAGAAAAGCGTGCCGGTGAGGTACAAGTCGCTGGACAACACGCAGCTGATATTTATCACCGCGCCGTCCGACATCGGGATCATCTTGGAAGACCTGAAGAATTACAAAGAGATAGCCGTGGACTTGGAGCATCACTCTTACAGATCTTTTCAGGGCATAACCTGCCTGATGCAGATATCAACGGTGGACACCGATTACTTGATCGACACGCTGTCTCTGCGATCGGAGTTACATCAGCTCAACGAGATCTTCACGAAACCCACGATCCTGAAGGTCTTTCACGGCGCTGACCTAGACATACAGTGGCTTCAGAGGGATCTGTCGCTGTACGTAGTGAACATGTTCGATACCCATCAGGCAGCGAAACAGCTGCAGTTCCCCTACCTCAGTTTAGCTTACCTGCTGAAGAAGTACTGCAACATAGATCCCAACAAGCACTTTCAGTTGGCCGACTGGCGTATACGACCACTGCCGGAAGAACTGATGAAATACGCCAGGGAGGATACGCATTATCTGCTTTACATAAAGGACCTGTTGAAGAACGAGCTGATCGAGTCGGCTAACGGGCAGAACAACATCCTCAAGGCCGTGTACGACATGTCCACGGACATCTGCAAGCGGACGTACGTCAAGCCGATCTGGACAATGGAGAGCTGCAAGAACATGTACAGGAGGAGCCAGAAAATGTTCAACAACAGGCAGCTGTACGCGTTCAAGGAATTGCACAAGTGGAGGGACGTCACCGCGAGAGAGGAGGACGACAGTATCGGCTACGTGCTGCCCAATCACATGTTGCTCAACATAGCGGAGACGTTGCCGCGCGAGATGCAAGGTATTCTGGCATGTTGCAATCCGATACCGCCGTTTGTGCGAAAGAACCTGCTGATGTTGCACAAGATCGTGCTGAAGGCCAGGGAGCAGCCGCTCGTGAAGACCATACCGGAGGACGATTTCCGGCAGAGACTAGCACAACGGACTCATGTGGCGAATGCCGACGTCTGGATACATTCGTCGCACGACATACCGAAGGGCACGGAGGCCAGGGCGGACTTGCCATGTCTCTTGGATAAGGTCGACACGGCCTGGCCTGTGTCGAGCGAGAGCGTCGTGATGAAACACACTGTGACATTGTTCGACACATCGGAGGTGAGATTCAGACAGCGTCAGCTGTGTTCCGATGAGATGATCCGGTAATATTATCGCGTTGCCTCGTTCGATAACAAACGTTTTCATTTCAGGATGAAACGGAGAACATTAAAAAGCCGATATTCGTGAGTCCCTTTCAGAGATACAAGTGCGTAATACCGATGATAGTCGAGCTGGAGGCAAAGGAGCTGGAAAGACAGCGGAAGGAAGAAGAGGAAAAGCGTCGGGGGGGCGACGCTGCCGCTGAAGAGACCAACGTGGAAAGCCTGGACCAAGCCGAGATTAGCGAGAGCAAAGGGAGGGTGTACGAACACTTCAAACAGGTATCTCAGTCATCGAATGAAGAAGTTCAGGGTGTGTTTCAGAAGAAAAAGAAGAAGAAGAAGAAGAAGAAGAAGAACGGCAACACAGAGATACTCCTGGGTCAGATGCACGGTAGGAAGAGGAAGAGGGAGTCTGGCATCGCAAGAGAAAGTGTGAGTCAGGATAGGAGCGACCATCACGACTTCTGCACGCCCGCGCCGTCCTTAGACGCCAAAATCCGACACATGCCTAAGAAAATGAGGCAGGAGATGCGAAATGCGGCTGAAGAGCAGAGAGTCCGGGAGAATCTCGCGCAAGTTCAGGGCGATAGGAACACTCAGGCGATTCAACCGATCAGGTAAGAGCTGCGCTTGATTTGAAGAAGAAGAACAAGAAGAGAAGCACGTCGCAACATGTCTGACTTGATTGCGATACGCGATAATTAACTAATTTGCGCGACAGGTCCAAGAAGAAAGGAGAGAAGAAGGCGACCGCGAAGCTGCTGAAGCAACAGGGTATGCTGCCGTCGGGGAAGTTCAATTACAAGGAGGTGGACTTCAACAGCTTCCAAGGCGGCAGTATGCAGAACAACGCAGTTACGCAGATAACACAGTTTCAGCAGCCGAAGGTATGGCGGTCAGGTGTAAAATTTCCGTCGGTGTTGACGAATGCAAGGTATAATTAACGCGCGAATTTCCGGTTATTTCAGCAAAAGAAACCAAGACATCGGGACTGGAAGAAGCAATTCAAAGTGAACATATGATTTGTAACTAGATTCTGACCTTTTGTAATATTACTGATAAGAAGTGCCGTTGGATTCTCGGGCGTATTTCGTGTAATGTCGATTACGTGTCGTATCAACGTCATCTTAAATGCTCATTTAATTGATTTCATCAGTTGATTACATTTCAATTTCAGGTCATGAAAATAGACCGAAATGAATGAATATTTATCTGTTTTGAAAAATGAACTTCTATTTCGCTCTGTAAGTTTTCAGTTTCTCTGGAATACTGGCATATTGTCGTCGAAATTCTTTTTTCGTAATGTGTACAGACCGCACGTGTATCTGTAAAAATCATGTGTAAATGTAGTTGTTGTATGAATTTATACGATTATAATTATTAATTATGATTTTATGGAGGAATGAAGATTTTTTTTTTTTTATTAAAAATCCATATAATGACTATGTTTATACACGCATGTAAATACAGTTTACTTATGAAGTTTTTTAGACTTAAGAAAAATATAAGTGAAATAAACATATACACGATAAGAAGACGATTCCGAAAGCATTTCCCACCCCTTGAAACCTCTACATTTCCCGAAGAATTGAATTCAAGTTTTTTTTAATTAACTGGTTAATAGCGAGTAAGCAAAATCTCTAGTCTCGGTTACGAGACACCGCCATCTGACGGAGGACAAGAAAGTAGTACGTTTCAACGACAGGTCAGACATCCGATACGGGCTTAAAGTTCGTCCGACTCACCGTTGAGTCGTATTACTTGAAAGTGCCGATGGATGCCGGCCGCTTTGAAGCTGCAAAACGAACAACTTGCTCTTGTGTAGAAGAAAACGCGCGGTCGTCCGTTGGTCATTTATACACGAGGAGAAATAAAGTAATTCGCTCGGCAAAATGGCGACTACCATTAATGGAGTGTTCCGTGAGGAATTGCGCGATGCAATTTTACGCAGCAAAGTGCTCGTCGTGGGTGCCGGTGGCATCGGCTGCGAGATCCTGAAGAATCTGGTTATGTCTGGATTCGCCGACATCGAAATCGTGAGTATATAGCTGCCTTAACAGCTAACGTAATAACAGCTAATCTCATCTTACGATTTACATCAGCCGCAATATTTTAGCTTTTTTATTGTCGCATGAGTAACAAGTGTATGTTGTTTTACCGCTATATGTAATAAGAATGATGCGGAAACTTATGTGTTTTCGTGGATTAGGTTATGTTACTCACCAATTTATCAGTCCGACAGATAATGTCGGTTTCTTCCTTGTAAACAAATTTCTACCTTTCGAATCTTACTTGCTATGATGCGATTGATAACATGTATGTATGTGCAAGTTGCGTTATTATTTTACTTTTACTGCTGTCTTAATTTCCTAACAATTTCTTAACAATCCTCCTACTAAATCCGATCTTTATTTTAGATCGATCTAGACACAATCGATGTGAGCAATTTGAACAGACAATTTCTATTCCAAAAGAAACATGTAGGGAAGTCGAAAGCTAGTGTAGCGTGTGAAACGGCACTGACGTTCAATCCAGATGCTAAAGTGGCCTGTTACCATGACAGTATTACGTCGTAAGTTTTTCTTCTGCCTTTATCGTACTTATCGTGAAGATATACCATGTTGTCACGATATTTCTCAACGTTCTAAAGCTTTTATATATGTTTGCAGACCAGACTTTGGCTTATCCTTTTTTAAGAGATTCACAGTGGTTTTGAATGCTCTCGATAACAGAGCAGCCAGGAATCACGTGAACCGTATGTGCTTAGCCGCGGATATACCATTAATTGAATCCGGTACTGCAGGTTATGAAGGCCAGGTTGAACTTATCAAAAAAGGTCTGAGTCAGTGTTACGAGTGCACACCTAAGGCTGCACAGAAAACTTATCCTGGCTGTACTATTCGCAATACACCCAGCGAACCCATTCACTGTATAGTGTGGGCTAAGCATCTTTTCAAGTAAGTACTGCTGCGAAATCTATATACTATAGAGTCTGATATTTTATGTCATCCATTGACTTTAAGTTTCATTTTATAATCAATGTGTATGTTGCAGTCAATTATTCGGAGAAGAAGATCCTGACGAGGATGTTTCCCCAGATACAGCGGATCCTGAAGCAGCTGGTAATATAAATTATCTTCAGTTCTAACATTACTTCTGAATTGATATATTTCTCGATTTTATTTCCATTTTATTTTATCATATATTTATGCTTTTTTTATTATTAATGTCCGAAACAAAAGTAATTGGGTGAAGTAAAATATCTTGATAATTATAGATACGGCAGGCAAGGCGGCTTTACAGGCGGAATCGAACGACAAGGGCAACATCGATAGAATTTCTACACGAGTTTGGGCGCAGTCTTGCAACTACGATCCAGAAAAACTATTTACCAAGTTGTTTCACGATGATATCAAATATTTGCTAAGCATGGATAACCTATGGAAGAAGCGTAGACCACCAACGCCGTTAAATTGGAAGGAGCTGCCAGATGGAGGTTCGTCATCTTATCGCAGAATGTTTATATTTTTATTATGTATATTTTCAAAATCTCTCTCGAGTTACAAACTTCTAATTTTCTCCTTAACTTATTGATAATGTCTTCCGTTTTAAAGTTGCCGGTTGCAGTAAGGACATCATGCAGGCAGGTTTGAAGGACCAACAACGCTGGAGTGTTTCTCGTTGCGGCGCAATCTTCGCGGATTCGGTGAAAAGTTTGAGTCAGGCGTTAAAAACTTCGCAGGAAAAATCACCGGGTAATCATCTGATCTGGGACAAGGACGATCAGCACGCCATGGATTTCGTCGCGGCATGCGCCAACATTCGCGCGCATATTTTCGGGATCGCTCAGAAAACTAGATTCGACATCAAATGTTAGTAACGATAGGTTTGCTTGTCGCCACTTTCGATTTTTTCTCTTGCAAAATCCAACGTGAGTCTTCATTTGTCCATCTTATCGGCTTTTTTTTTTCTTTAGCGATGGCGGGAAACATCATACCGGCGATTGCTACCACCAACGCCATAATTGCGGGGTTGGTGGTCCTTCACGCCTTCCGGGTTCTGGAGAACAATTTGCGAGCCTGCAGATCTGTCTATTTGCGCTTGAAAATGAACCATCGCAACCAGCTGTTAGTGCCGGAGAAAGCGGTAAATCCGCCCAACCCTCAGTGCTATGTCTGTGCACCCACCCCGTCTGCCGTGTTAGCGGTCGATACTTCCGCTATGACCATTAAAGAATTGGAAGAGTTGGTACTGAAAAATCGACTTAATATGATCGCCCCGGACGTCATGATCGACGTTACCGGTGCTGTGGTTATCAGCAGCGAAGAGGGCGAGACGGAGGAGAACAACGACAAGAGATTAGAAGAGTTGGGCATTAAAAACGGAGCGATTCTCAAGGTCGACGACTTTCAGCAGAATTACTCGTTGACCGTCTATGTGGTTTACAGAGAGAAACCTGGCCCGAAGGACGATAGTCCGCCATTTTTGATACTGTCTGATAAGAACGCGCTCGAGCCGAAGCCTCTGGAAAAGGATGAAGATATGGAAGTTGAGAAACCTTCTAATGGCCAGGTGAGAGTGTTTTACTTTGCGGAATATTCTCGTTACTTTAAATCGCTATGTATTTATTCGGAGATCGGATATATATATGTGTGTCTTATTTAGATAAGATTTCAATGAGAGAAGCAATTTTTCCCATAGAGATTGTCAATCCGTATTTTTACTAATTGATGAGAGATTAATCGAGAAAATCCTTCTGCAGGCGATCGAGGTGTTGGATGCGAAGAAACGCAAGAATGATGCGGTTGATGACGGAGTGTCGGTGAAGAAACGTAAGGTGGAAGTTAACGACGCGGATGACGGCGACGACATTTGCATTATCGAGAATAACGATGTATACCACGATAATACCGCATCCAAACTGAAAAAGTCGACGCCGAAGAAAATGAAGTCTTCCGAAGATCTGGATTGCTTGATAGTGCTCGACGATAAAAATAGTGATTAATCTTGAGAACAAGAGATAAATACATTTTCATTAATAAAGAAAGATGAAGACCGTGAGAAGGACTCAAACTGTGTGGACCCGAAGCGTTAAGGCGTAGGCATAAAGATCGAAATATGAAAGTTTAAGGGAGTAAGTTCAGAATATAAAAAAGAAGAGATGAAACGAATGACGTATACGTAATTGATGTAATTAAACATATAACAAAAAGAAATTCAAGAAAAATCCCGGTAAAATTTTGGTCGGAGATAAAAAATATAAAAACTCGGAAGAAAAGGGAAGAAACAGAGGGAGACCAGCGATCTTTAAGATAAGGAATAATGAAGACGAAAGTCGACGAAAGAGTTCAAAGTTTATATTCCAAGACGACAAATGAAGATAAAAGCTGCTGAAGTCGCAGGTGTCGAGAGAGAGTGTGTGTGTGTGTGTGTGTGCGTGCGTGTGTATTTTCATTCTTTTTTTTTTTTATTGAGAAAACATGTCTGATATAATAATTTAATTTTGTATATTGTAGAATATATACACATCATATTATATTATCATTGATATTATACCATGTGATAAATCAGTTGATCGACTTTATACATTAAAAGAAGTATTGATCGAGACGGCCGTGTAATCACTGTCTGTCTGTGATTTCCATTAAGAACAAAATTTCTCTCTCCGAAGGAATTTTCCTTCATCGAAAGAGCTGAATATTACCAATACGCTTTATCACCTCGCTCAAGTTAATCCTTTCTCTGAGCACATCGCAAGTATTTGTCCGGCTTGTAGCCGTACATGTCGAAGTCCACTTTATACCTCTCGTACAACCGGATGACCATGTCGTCGGTCAGATTGCGGAAGTACTTGCATTCAGTTTTGAAGTCGGTCAACCCGTTACGAGTGCGTTGCAACGTGGGCAAGTAGACTTTGTCCCTGTCCAGTTTCAGCTTTGACAGAACGTAATTGATCTGCCCCAAGGTGTAATCGTCCAGTTTCATGATGAAATTATAATTCACACGGCAGACCGCGCAATGAGTGTGATATGGGGCCCAGTGTACATCATCGCGTTCCGACGGTTGTCTCAGCAACCATTGGACGAACTCGCGAAAACTGGGGATCACTTTCAGTCTGCGGAGATATCGGTGAAAACAGTATTATGTACATTCAGTGGATGAATTTTCGTATACGCGTGTAATTATGCTAGGTCATGGATCTACGGCAAGAATTTGAGTTTTCTGGCAACCTTTTGTCCGGTAGGAATATCTTGTCCGGGATGTTGTCGTTCGACGATCTGGAACGGAAGAATTCCGGCCTCGAAAGGTAAAGAATCGAGGGAACGTGGAGCCAGGATTGCGCGGTGTATCTGCTGTTGTCTTCGATGCGATCCCTGCAGGGATGAATTTGCGTTAATGTCTCGCGTTTACTTTTGGCCACCACCGGTCGCTACGCATACGTTGCTCACGTGCCTTTCGTGAAAACGGTGAAGCTAATTAATTAAATTATCCAATTACCTGTACGATGAGACCAGTCGTTGAAACGGATGCCGGACAACGAGCAGTTTGAAGACGGTGCTGTCGTTAACATAATGCTGCAAGTTTGCCAGAGTTTTCGGCGACAGAAAATCCACTTCTCTGCAAATCACACACACATTTTCTCTATCTTACTTTATGTATCTTATTTTACGTTATACACACACACACACACACACACACACGTATGTATGAATTACGACGACCACTACCTGTAAAAATTGTGGCTGACTCGGCGATCGCTCATGTCGGAGAATAATTTGGTGAAACTGGTGGACGCAATTTTACGGATCCAGCAATATAACGACTTGTGCTTAGCGTTGTACAAAAAGTGTCTTTTAACAAAAGGTGTTCTCTTCAGATTGTACTTGGCACATGTATTTGACACCTGTCGAAGTAGAGCCGCGCTCCCCTTTTAACAAAAATGTAAATTTCTATGATATCTACGATATTTTATATCGGTAGTTTTAGGTACTCAATTTTGTATTTTTATATTTTTTTCCGCCTTCATAGTGATTTTCTATATCTGTATATATATATATATATATACGTACCTTTGCGCGTAACAACTTTTAAACATACCTGCATATCGATAGTTTCGCCTTTCAGCTCGTCTAATCGCAACATTTCGATCACCGACCCGACATTTCTCTTATTTATCTTGCTGACAGATGAAGAGTCGAGCGTTACCGTTTGATACTCGGTCGTTCTCACTTCTGTCACTTGCTTCGAGTTGAAATTTTTTCTTACTTTGATAAAAATAACACATACGAGGAAGTACAATGCAACGCATACAGTACTTTTTATAAACAAATGTCTTCTGACAAACATAATTGATACAATTGAACACTAATTGCAGTCGCATAGCATGTACAAAGTACGTTTAGCCGCACAAACCGGAAGAACAAATACTACGAAAACATATTTTAATCAAGGAATGAATTCGAGCCTGTGAAAGTCTGAAAGTAAATGTTTCAAACGTGAGTATCCGCGACGAATATTCCGTTTATCTTGCCTTGATAATATTGCTTTACTTAACACGTTCAGTAGATTTTTCTCAATTCTTCGACACTTATATTCTTCACGTGTCAACGTGATGTTATAACATGTCGGGAATCCTTCAGCATCCTTACCACTTATCAGGACTAGTGCATCCGCTCTCTAAGCTTTTAGCTTGTGTGAGTGGGACGGACGATAATTCTTATCTTTCTATGAGTTCTACATTTCTCATATCCACTAAAGATTTGTCTCTTTAAAATTGCTCCTGAATATAAAAAAAAAGATTTACGACGATTCAGAGTGTGTATTTTAGAATTTCGAGTTATATTTTTTGTCATTCTTATTACAAGCCTTTCCCAAAATTATATCTCTCAATGTCAGAGATAAAATGTGGATACATTAAAGAACTTGAAGGAAATGCAAACAATAAAATACAGACGTACAGAATTGTTGAAAAACAAAGAAACATTGTTCTACGGTTACTCAATTTATTGAAAATTCGAGTATGTAAAATCGAATTATTAATGAAAAAGAAGCATTTTCATAAAAATAAGTCACGAGGTAATGTACAAAATGTTCAGGAAAAATCGTAGAAAAGGGAGAGATATTACTTCTAGTAGATGAATCTCTCGGTATTTTTTTTCATCTCAATGAGACATCTCGATATTATTGCATTTCATTTGATCCTGTAGAATGTCGGAAATTCACAGATAATTGCGAATTTCAATACTCAGTGGTACAAAACTTACTTAATGTAGTTTACGTTATTTTACAACAGAAAATGCGCTTGAAATCGCGGTTCAATCATTAAATGACTACTAAACGCTATTGGATAATGAGTATAATTGTCTTCATAATAGATACATAATTGAATTCGTCGATTCCCAGTTTCACATGGATGAAAAGATCTATCTACCTCTAAGAACTCTTTCATCCTCACATCTTTCATCTTTTTATTCCAATTCAATAGAAATTCTCCAAATTTAACTTGCAGAATATAACTTACAATTTGAATAAATTTTAAATTGGTTTAATCGAAATAAATGTTTGTTGATACAAATTTGTACATTTTTATTCCATGAAGTAATTTTTTAACTAAATATTCTCACTTAAATCAATTGAATTTTCAATTTAACTAAAATAACTTTTTATTATCATACTTAAATTAATTATTTTTCAATTCTCACAAATATATGAAATATCGCGTATGATTACTTAAGTATGAGAATATCAATGTGTAATTATATTTAAACAAAAATTTCCTTACATCTTCATATTTTACTATAATTACATTTTTCATTTGATTTACAATTTTAACTTTGTTGATTTATATTAGATAAAATATAAATTAAATAAATATATCTTATAGTTATTATTTTAATTTTTACTTTACTTGACCTGGTTTTCCTATTTTAACAATTGATGCTTAAGTGCAATGTCGTTATTCCCCAAAATTTACCTCCAGCAACGCGACGAGTAACAAACTAATTTATCGTTGATTCAGCATTGATAACAAAGCGCGATCTGGGAATCGGCGAGTCAATGAAAGAACACCATAGATTAAATCTTTATCTGCGATCTCTGTATCTATGATGATGATCCCGCGATGAACGGTGATCACTGTGTCGACTGTGGCGGCTGGCTGTTCTCCATAGAAATTCGTCGACGCTCCTCTCGTAGCGCTTATCCAATGCTGATGCAGTCGCGCTGTAATCCGGAGGTAATGGCAAGCCATCGTAATATCTGAAAGAGAAACATTTTCGCCTCATTGGAATAGAATTTTTTGTGATTCAATGTCAAATCTTATGCGATTGCAACTATACATTGTTTGCTTAACATATTACATGTAAGAGAAAATTTTCAAATAGGTCAATAATTTCTTCCTCCTTGTTTCTTCTTTTCTACTTCACAACCTAAAAATATATATTTGCTTCATTTGAAGTATGTATAATGCATTTGGCATCTGATAAAACATCCGTAAGACCATGTGTCAAACAATGATTAATGAATATCTATACCTCGGAGGTGGAGGAGGTGGCGGCAGGGCATCATATGGATGTGGAGCACCATAAGGAGGCAACGGGGGTAGCTGGTGTTGCATGGTGCGCATGTAATCTGCCACGTAAGCTTCTGCAACTGCAGCGACACCCAGCCCAGTTCCGTAACCTCTGAAAAATTATTTATTATTATTATTATTATTATTATTATTGCACGAATTAAAATTGTTCGAAAAAGAAATCGCCAATTAGAGACTACGTGACCGATCCGATATATTTGTTCCGCATGGTTAGCATGATTAGATCGAGAAATCGTACTTCGTGTAAGGGGAATCTCCTCGATTGAACCACGGTGTGTACCGGTGTGAATGGTCCCTGGAACTTCTGTGATCTGCCATCCCATGGGAACTTCTGGCTAACGAGGCTAAACGAGACCTCGACGTTAAGAATAATCGGCGTCCCCTGCCGCTTCTCCGTGAGAATCTCGAGTTGTTTATGGGTTTGTTATCACGATGACGCGACGATTTCGTCACGTTTTTGCCAGCTTCCTTAGATTTCCGTAGAATAGGCGTCATTTCGATTCCTAAGAAACATTGACGTTCTTTACTTACCTTGTGTTCGTTATCTTATTAGTTGATTGTTAAAAAAAAAAAACAAAAATGAAATAAAAATAAGTATTACAAAGACAAAATCTTGGAATCTTATCTAGAAGATGATGCAGTTACCTTCGTCCTCGGGAAATAATCGGCACAATTCCTCGGCGACTCTGGGCTCGATTTCCTGGCCATCTCGACCGATCTTGACCTGCTTGCCGTCATTCCAAGGATTGTACAGGTGTAACGTGGCCGTGAACGGTAATTCCTTCCTGCAGATCCAGTCGACCTTAAATACACCACCTAGGGCCCTCGCCGATAAACCGGGGGGCAAAACCTGAAATGCATTCCATTTTACTTTACTTCTCTTTTACGTGGTCTAAAATATCGCGTGAAAGATACACGGTATTACGCACCGATACCTGAGCTACAGCAGGCACAGTTTTTATTCTTATAATATTAACACTATGCTGTCCGGGGACACCACATTGGTGTCCCGCGAAAACTATGGCGCAAAGGCCGGCGACAGCACTGTGGTGCCGTTTGTGTTTTGATTGTGTACTGTTGGTGTTCTGTTTGTGTTCTGTTTAAGTAACAATAAGTTGCAGACATCATGATTCGATCGACAGACTTTCCGGTCAGCTAAAGCAACACCAGCTAATACAAATTTCCGAAACCGACAAACGAAAACGAAGAAAGTGCCATGTATGTTCCAAAAACAAAAAAAGAAGGACAACAAATTTAATGTGTAAATCTTGTGGAGTCGCGTTACACCTCGGAGATTGTTTTGCTTCATATCATCTAAAAGAGAAATACTAAGTATCCAATAAAATATTAATAAATAAATATATAATATAAAAAAATGTTACATTTATTTACATATATCCTCGAAATTTCATGAAAATAGCGGGACAGGATTGAAAACTAACGAGAACTGACGATTTATGATCCCCCGAAAACCTCGAAAAACCGCCGGCGACAAGCAAAATGATCAGTCCTACCGGCGCCAAACAAAAGAATCCCGATTAAACGTGCGGACGGCATAGTGTTAATAGCATGGAAATTCATTTAAAACTTTGATAAAAATGAAACTTCACTTTCACACGGAAAATAAAGAACAGACAGATGAAAGTATTTAGTAGAACTGTGATAGTTAATGGAAATAATAACATAATACAATTGACAAAGCAAGTTGGTAGAATTTCCTCAATACTAATATAATGGAACGTTTTGTTCACACACCCAAGAGATCGGAGCACCGTCCCTCCTCGATTCAGTACTAAGTCTCGCGAAACCAGCGAACTTTCCTGATTCTTTCACAGAGAATATCAGCAGGACGTTTCGTGACTCCTTGTAGGCCTGATTTAAGTTTGCTTCGTTCTGAGGCAGCGTACTCCACACACCCTTGGCCTTCGACAGTGTTACGTTCTCCGCGTTGTTGGACTTGATGATGAAAAATCTAGCAAGAGAGAAACTGATGATATTTTCACTCCGATTCTAGAATCATTCGTTAAATATATGACATAAGTTATAATTACATAATGTCATACGAAATATCGCGCATTGTCTTCATTATAATTCGAAATTTCCGGGATTTTACGATCATTATTAATTAAGTAATCTTTGTACAAGATTTTGTTAACGATACAGAGAATGTGTAATTACTGTTCATACACAGTACACCGGTATGTCACAGTAATAGGTCTGTTCGTTTTCACTGCGCTGCTGAACTAGTGCAATAAGTTGAAGCGAGACAAGTATATGTTTTCTCACTTCAACTTATTGCACTAGTTCAGTGGTGCAGCGAAAACAAACAGATCTAATGGTAAAGCAAATGGCTGATAAAGAGGTTTGCTCGTGTAACAAAATAAATAAGAGTGACTCGCGCAGAGAGCCAAGATCGGTGGCTCGAAATGTCTCACGAGGAATCAAGTCGACGCCATTTGCACCATGATTCACCAGACATCCCATTACAGTAAAACAAACAGCTATCCCCACCGAACCTTGCATCTCTGAACAAGTAATTCAACTTGGTCGTGTAGTCGTAACTCTTGGCGGTGCCTTTGCTTTCTTTGGACCTGGCACGCTTCAGCTCCGGGCTGGATGACTTTGTGTCCCTGGACCTCGCACGCTTGCATCTGTTCCTCCGGCTGCGCTTGTTGTCGCCACGCGAGGACGTGCTCGAGACCGTGCTGATGGTGGGATGAGAGGAGTCAGAGTTGGAGCTGCTGGAGGAGACCTCACTGCGAGTGTCGTACGTCTCGTCCGCGCCTATCTTCAATTCATCACCGATGTCGTTCTCGCCGCCGCTGACGTTCGCGTTATCCCCGTCCGTGTTGCTGCCCATAGTCAGCCGCCTGGCTCCTCCTCGTCGTCGTCGTCGTCGTTCCTCGTCCTGTGCGGATTAGGCGTCTGCCTGTAACGCAAAGAAAAATACGGAAAGGACAGTTATTATCCGCGGCGCCCGCGAGCGCGCGGATATATACTGCACCAGGAGGCACGACATGTCATAGCACTTCTCGTACATTTTACGACAACAGTGTAGTAGCAAAGGATAATATAGTATACAGCAAGGAAAGTTCAGGGATTCCGAGTCGAGTGAAAAGTCCATGAGAACTGTCCTGAGAACTCTCAATTAAAGCCTCTAAGTGACGCGCGCCCTGGCGCCGGCTTTCAGCTCCTTCTCTCTCTCTCTCTCTCTCTTTTTCTCTTACAACTAACACAAATCAACAGGGACACATTGACGCGCGACGGCTTGAACCAGGCGGAACCTGGCGGGAGCCAGCGGTTTGGCCAGGATAACGAACTTTACGAGGCTTTACGAGATCAGTCCTTGATAGATTATCTGGTGATAGTGACACATACGAAGTCTCTGAAAACATGGAGAAGCTTTTTTTTCGGGCCGCGCCACGGGTCGTTGTTATTTAACCTCTTAACGCACTTCTCTTCTGCGTGAGCAGAGGTCAGGTTAAAATCGACATATACTCGTGCCGTTTACACCGTAAGATGGACCATGTTTCTCGTTTCGCTCGCTAAACATGCTAAACAGTCTGTCGATGGACTCTGCTATATAACTGGCTCATTTTTTTTATTTTCTTTTTTTGCGCGCGTTTTGCGGTTATCTAGAGGAGTTCGTCGAGAAGCAGTGGACAGCACAAAATATGGAATCTTTCGTTGCCGTTTATACACTCTTCCCTTATCTCTGGCTTTCCTTTCTCTAGTCCTTTTGCGATTTTTTGACGAGTCCTCCCGAGGGCTCGGCGCACACTTACGTGACACCCTTCGTCCTTTCACTGACACACTTCACACCGAAAGCACTCTCGAGACACGCCCGACGTTGCGATATTTTCTACGGCACGACACGCACGTTTCGAATCTTACACGAGCGTTTCGGTCTCGACTCAAAAAGACGCGACACAACGAGCCACCGTAAACAAATCGCGGGCGGATTGTGCACGAATCGCGGCGTCCATCGTGTGACGTGTCCGAATCAATAGCAGACAGGATCGCCAACTGCTGTGGTAGGTTAGACAAGAAAAGCTGCCAGAAATTTTAGTTTCTCAAGAATGACGATATAGATGTGCGTATATAACGGACGATTCACACTGCGTTCGATTGAGTGAAATTCGGTATGCAATAGGAACATTTGGGTGCAGATTTCCTTATTGGACATCGAACGTCACACATTAGGACTACGTTCGGAAACACCAATTTATGAGTGAAGCAGCATTTAATTAACCAATCATGATAAAGGTGGATATTCGTAGTCAAATTTTACATTTAAGTCGTCTTGAGTTTATCTTCAGATACTGTACGGCTCATTGGCTACAAGGCATCTCAATTAAATGCTGCTCCTACCCTCGGAATGGTGTTTTTTGAACGCAGCCTAGAATGCGTGTTTACAAAAGTTGCACAATCAAATATGGCGACGTGTTGTCTGGGCAAATGTCAAACAATCATCATTGAGGTTAAGTTATGATAAATTAATTTTTACGAGGAACATGTCGTTGAAGGTAATTTTTACTGGCATTTCTTAAATATTAATATTTTAGTTACATACAAAATATCGTGTGTTATATCGAGTACATTTATATAAATATAATTCTAACCTTAAATCTTGTCAATTCAAACAAGTTGTTCAAAATAGCGATTCTTGACAGTAAAGGAGAGGAGAAAACAACTTCACATGCATTTTTTATTTTTCGAGATATTTATTGCAATTTCTAATAAACGTCAAAAATAAACTACCAAAAGATACTAAGCGAATTATTATAATTATAATTAAATTTTTTGTAACTTGGGTGGGACTTGACGCAACTACTTCACAGTTTCACCTGCATTTTATTCATTCATTTATTGATATAAGAACGAGTACCGCAAGTCCATCGAAGACTATCTACCTGTGACACCTGTGAGACGCAAGATTGGTCTCTACTGGATCCTGGCTGTTCTGAGGATAGCTCTCACTTTTGTCCCCCAGACTGGCTACATTCATCCTGACGAGTTCTTTCAGTCCATTGAAGTTATTTCTGGTGAGTCATCGATTGGGTTTGCTTCTGCTGTTGTTTCTGAGACGCTGCTATTTTCCATTTCAGGAGACCACTTTGATATCGATGTCTACAAGCCTTGGGAATTCAACGCCACCTTTCCGATCCGCACTGCGTTCATTCCACAGCTCACCGTCGGCCTGCCCTATGCATTCCTCAAGAGACTATCCCCTTACACGTTCTATCTCTTCGGCTTGTCGTTACGGACCCCGTACTTCTACGTCCTCTTCCCGCGTCTCTTCATGTGCATGCTCTCCTTCCTGTCGGACTACTTTTTGTACAAAATCTGTTGCATTTACGGGCAGAACTACCGAGTAAGACTTGTCACTTACGCCAGCTCCTACATCATGTTTACTTACGCCACTCGCACTCTCTCCAACTCCATTGAACTTGTGCTGACCGCTGCGCTGCTGTACTTCACCTCCAAATGCATGGCATTTTCAGAAGAGGTACGTTTAATTTCGTTTACAAAAAAAAGTAAAAAAAGAAATAGCAATTTTTTCTCTTTTCTTCAACTATTCCTTTCGGTTCTCTAGATTGTGTATCACAGTGATTACCTTTCTAAGAAGCACAGCGAAGCAAAGCCCGGAGTAGAACGAGTCAAGTACTACAAGCTTATGGCTCTGTTGCCCTCACATTCGTTAAACCACTGCTTCATACTGGCCACGATAACGATAATAGGGATATTCAACAGGCCCACCTTCGTTGCGTTCGCCTTAGCGCCCACCTTCTTCTGGCTGCAGAGAGGCTTAGGCTCAAGGAGCGTTGGCTTAGCAGACTTCCACATCCGGATACTCTATTTCATTCTCTGCGGTCTGCCAGCCGCGTTATTCTTCATTCTGGTCGATAGCTTCTATTTCGGTTATTTGACAATGGGGGAGATAGGTAAATTGGAGATCGGAATGAACAATTTCGTGGTGACGCCGTTGAATTTTCTGAGATACAACGTGAACACAAAGAATCTCGCGACGCACGGGCTGCATCCTCGGTTCCTGCACGCCCTGGTGAACGTTCCGCTACTGTTCAGCGTCCTGGGAGTCGTTGCACTGTCGAGATTCGCGAAAATGGTGTACAGGTGAGTCGCATGGTCGATCGACTAAATCAAAAAGTGCTCCAAATTTATTTTAGCCTAAATCCATATATATATATATATATATATATATATGGATATTAGCCTATTAGCCTAAATCCATATATATATATATATATATATATATATGGATTTAGAAATTGAAGATAACAATATTTCAGATAAAACTGTCTGAGGTAAAAAAATGCGAAAATTTCAAATTTTAATTTTAATTTTAAACCGAGTGGATTCAATTCTAATTAAATTGCACTCTCCACATAAGCGCATTGAACGTAAACGATATTAATTTTCAGCGGACTGAACGCACAGTGGCTGCAACTGCCACGTCTGCAGAGCATCGTGGGAATGATGACGTGCACCTTCGTCGTCCCGCTCGCTTTGTTGTCTCTCTTTCCCCATCAAGAGCCCCGTTTCATAATCCCGGTGCTCTTCCCGCTGGTGTTTCTCTACGCACCCGAGCTGAGTCAAGTCCCCAGTCTGGACATTGTTTCACGATTCGGCAACGACGAGGACAACGACGAGAACGATAACAGCAAACCCCGCAGTCCCGCCTCGTCGCACGAGAGGAGCAAGCCCAGGAAGTTGGTGATCTGGTATGTTAGCAACCTTCTGCTGGCGCTGTTCTACGCTTTCGCGCACCAGGGCGGCATCCTGCCGCTGACGTCTCACGTCGCGGCCGAGCTCAAGGCTAAGCCGCACCTCACGCATCTGCATCTCTACACGTCATACGGCTACCCGTTGCCCACGGCGTTGCTGCAGCTGCGCAACACTCACCGTGTCTACCGCAGCAGCAGCAGCAATCACAAATATAAGCTCGTGCAAGACTTCCATCTATACGAGCAAGGCTCGAAGTCGTTGCCGCGAGTGTTGGACGACATCGTCAGGAGGATTCGCGACTGCGAGAACAAATTCGTCTTCAAAAAGATCCCCTACAGGCTGTACTACGTCTTACCGGCCTCTGCGATGGCCGAGTTCGCGGAACTGTCGCGCAACAGGTCGCACCTGTACGGCTTTCGCATAGTCAAGACTTTTTATCCTCACGTCTCCGTAGAGAGATTGCCGTCGTTGCCTTCGCTCGAAAGACTAGAGAATTTGTTAAGTTTCACGCGGTTCGATAGCATCACCAGCAACTGCGTGGAAGCTGCGAGGGGTGTTTACGAGTACGCCAGGCAATTCAGGCTGCTCTTGCTGAAAATCGAACTCACTACCTCGAAGCAGAACAGACACAGTGGATAAAGAAATAGCTGATGGTTAAATAAATTTTTGAATACTTGCATTTATTTTATAAGATAATAATGATAACAAAGTAATTTTAACGAGGAACTAGTCAATGCGAGGAGAAAGAGCTTGAAGCGATCGATTGGCTTTTTAAGAGATTTACAGACAATACAATGGAATGCGTGCAATTTAATTTGAGAGGGCAGGAGCACTGTTACGATGTATGCTTAACGAAGCATAGCATTCGTAATTTTTTTTACGAATAAGTATGAACGTCACACAAATTTTTATGTGATCAATTTTAAATTAACATAAAGTATACATAATGATACATATTATAAAAATAGCAAATGAAAATATATCTCGGAAATCTAAGATGTAAAATTGACATTGGGATTAAAATATTATGTTCGAAACAAAAAAAATGATATGTATGTATATATATATATATATATATATATATATATATGTATATATTTTATATACATAAATCGCGATGTCACTATAAAATATACTTAAACTATTGGTGAGTTGTTAAATTGATATAATTGATAAATTTGTTATTAAATATGACAGTTGAGAGTTATATATCATGTGAAGAAAGTGCTGGAAAAATCGAGGATCTGGTAAATCACAGGAAATTAATAATACAAGTACAAATATTTCTTGTTTTTATTTATACTAAGATTCTTCGCGCTTAGCGTTTCGACTAGAAGTAGTCTTTGTAAATATACTATTTATTTTATTCAAGCGAGGAAGTAGCATATTTTGGCATTTGTTTTTCCTTCAATTAATTCCAAAAAACGAATTTTTCAAAATAATTTGAAGGAATAAGTTTTCACCAATTAATTTACAGAGGTAAATCGACTATTAATTCGTATATTAGAAGAAGCACAACGCTGTGATTGTTACAAGATGTCATTAAAAATGACAAATAATAATACAATGTGCTAAAGCAATATGACGAATTTCTAGTTTTGTGCATCGCATCGTTAAAATATAAATTATAAGTGAAATTGAAATAAATCGCATTGAAATTTTTCTACATCCTTGAGATATTTAAAATATTTATAGCAAAAAGCAACATTAATTATAAATATGTCTGTCATTTTTATATAAAGCAGATTTCTGCATAAGAACAAAACGAGTTAAGAAGACACTTATATTTCTCCGGTTAACATTCNGTATGTATTTGACAATTTTTATTTTATATATTTATACTTATATATATATATCTTTCTTTAGTGCATAATATTATCCTACATAGAAAAATATAATACGGTGTGCCGGAAGAATTTCAGTGAGGAGAAAATATTATCAATTAACAGAATAAATAATTGAATTGTTTATGAAGGGAACAAAGGAAGATCATTTTTCTTCTACAGATTTTAAACATTATTCTACTGAACTCCTGAATTTTTTCCAGACACCCTGTATATTTCTACAGGTCAGTCATTACGAGGTATTTTTAGTGAATAATATAGCTAAATATTTTCTAGGGAAATCAATTAATAAATTATTTTATAGTACGTTATTGACATTTTTATAGTTTGATTATTTCTAGGAGTCTCGGTATTCTAGACCGAAATTCCGTTGGAAAACAAAACATCATTCTTGGATTTATGAAAAAAAGCTCTACTCTCATATAACATCATCTTCGCTTAAAATTTCGAATAAGTATTTCATATATTGCAAATTTATGTTTATAATTTGCTTTTCCATTTCTGTTTTTTCCTGTTGTTGTCCGATTCTAATTTGGCTATTTCATAAAACATGAGCGGACTTTCATTGATCACGGAATCATATTTTCCTTATTTAATAACTATTAGCGCGAATTTTAATTAAAAATAATTGCAATTAATTATCGCTTCCAAATTTCTAATTTAAAATTGTCAGAAATTATAAAAATAAAAAATTGATAATTTTAATAAAAACTAATTATAGATCAAACAAATGTAGCATCTTATTGATTGCCATAAGTTTGGATTATTCGCCAAATATTTTCTACTTTCAAACTTTTATCTGCCAAATTTGAAGAATGCGCGCTTCTACCGTTTACAAATCAATTAAGATGCATGCGTGCTACTCCCGTTGTAAGTCCAGGGAAGCGCTTCGTTAAATTTGCTTTGATGAGCCGCATTTCTCGCTGGGTACAATCGCTGAAAGCACAGCAAATCGTTCGTTCTTACCGTCTTTATCTAAAAAAAGAACATCCTGCGGTTTCCCTTTTTTTACGGCGATACTCACGGGATTATCGATGTACGCTTCGCAACCGTAGCACCAGACAGAGATGTCGGCGAAGCTAAGGGCGATAGGGTGCTCGCACTCCTCCGCATGCTGCATCGCGTGCTGATTGACGTTGCGAGCGCAGTGCACGGTGTAACACTGCAGGCAGATCCAATTCTCCGCGGTGCTGGTGCACTCCGTGCAGGGTAGAGTGACGTCGATTCCATTCGGGGGAACTTCGTTAACCGCGGACAGGTGTGGACAGTCTCGCAGAGGCACCACCGCGAACATTTCCCCCGCTGTCAGAGCCTGTGTGCAGTAAATGACGTTTCCCTTTAATTTAACCCTTTCGCTACGGAGCGCTTGTGACAAAATGTGATCGCTGTGAACGGAGCGCATTACTGAGTAGTTGACACTGAGGTACGGAATGCTACGAAGTAAGTAGAAGTCGTTTCTTGTTCTCTAAATTTTACAATGATATTTATTATATTTAGTAATATCATTTTACTTTCTAAAATATAAAATTTTATAATCATAATTTATTTTTTTAATTTAATAATAATTTAATTTATTATTAATTAATAATTTAATTTATTTTTTCTTGTCGGTGGTGTTTTATTTCATGATAGTCAACTGTTTGAGGCATGCAGCGTTGCCAGATACTCGATTAACAAAAGTATCTCATGTAAAATATGAAATAAAAGTATATATGGTATGAACGTATATGTACGCTCTTCGTACCTCAGCGCTCACTTTTCCAGAGCGTATATATACGCTCTTCGTATATGAATGGTCATTCTTCGAGGGCATATATATACGCCCGTCAGAGCGAAAGGGTTAAAACAATATCAAATGCAAGTATATCGGGATGTTTCGAACAAGAGGGCTGATTCGTGACGAGAGGAGGCAAACATATCTCGCACGATACAATAGACGTAAGAGCTGCGCACCTGAAGATGATCGGAAAGATAGTCCAGGAGGTTCGTAGCTCGTGTCTCACGTTGCAACGCTGCCGCTCCTTCCTCGTCGTGGTCGTTGTGTATGCTAGAACTCCCCTGCTGGTTGTCCCTCGACTGTTTCGTTTCGTTCACACATTTTTGTATACTCTGCGAAACTGAACATCAAAAATTAATAATTTACCCTGATCGAACGAAAACCAGTAGGAAAACTGACTGAACTCGAGAATTTGATGATAATTACCATCCGGATTTTTCGCTTCGTTCTTTTTCGAGCCGACGTTCCTCCTCGTCTCGTCGGAGTCACCTTTTATCGTGTCAATTTCGCAATTCTTAATTTTAATGTTTTCCACTTCGTTCCTCAACTTCAGAATCTCCTCGTCCGTCACGAGGTTCAGGCAGTTCTTATCGATCGACAGGCACAGTTCCAGTTTTTCGCTCTCGATCCCCTCCAAGGCGATCTTCGACTCCGTTTGCTTCGGTTTCTCCGCATTCTTTCCTCGCTCTTCGAGCCTCTTGTCCCTCTTCGAGGATTCCCTCTTAGAAGTCAACTTGAGTTTAGGAAGCAGCCTTTCCTTCGGCAAGGACATATCGTATTGCAGATTGGGCCAGAATTTCTTATGAATTTTCAACACGTTGTTGATGGAGTTGATCGCGCTGGTGCAGGGTACCTGACCGGGTTCTAGCATTGGCAAGGGGTCGCCTAGAAGGGCTTTGGTGCACATAGTCATCGCGTGAGAGATGGAGTTGATGTTGTAGCCTCCTTCGAGACTGAGGATTATACGACCGTTGGCCAAGGATGAGAGCCAGTGGGTCAAATGACCATAGAGTTCTGGACTCGTGTGGCAACCTGATGAAGGACAGAAAGTGTTAGTTCAAGTTTTGTAAGAGCCCAACAGTTTCATAAAAAATATGTGAAAATGTTATATACAAAATAAATAGAAGCTTTCTTTTTTCCACAGTACACTTCTTAAGTGTTTGGAACACAACAAACGAAATAATCAATTTAGTGCATCACCTCCCAGTGGATCACCCACACAAGCATCGAACCCAGCGGAGATCAGAACCAGCTCCGGGTCAAATTGGTAAGCGATAGGCATTACAACCTGCTGGAATGCTGCTATGTACTCGGCATCTCCCATTCCCCTCTGCAAATTTGACAAGAAGAGTACAGTTTTAGTTGTAACAATAATCCAAAAGGGACTGATACAACGTGGTGTGTTCTGGAGAAAACTACATCTGTAGAATCGTATTGATATTCTGTGCGTGTTATCGCTGGCATCACAAGTCACAATGTATCTTATGTCACTCGATTCGTTTACCTTGTTCCACGGTACATTTACGTTGAATCCCTCGCCTGCGTCCAAGCCAACGCTCGTATAATTGCCATCCTTGGTATTCGGGAAGAAGCTTCCATTATCGTAACGATGGACAGATATATACAGAACTCTCGGATCTTCTTCGAAAATAGATTGAGTTCCGTTCCCATGATGAACGTCCCAATCTACTATAAGCACCCTGTATATGTGTATTTTCAATTAGAATCATAAGGGACTTCAAAAGAAAAATGTAGACAAAATTTACAAATTTAAGTGCGATCGATCTGACACAAATTGATCAGTCAAAATGTCTCACCTTTTTACATGATGAAATTGTATGGCATATCTTGCAGCTACAGCCACGTTATTGAATATACAAAAACCATATGCATCATCATCCTCGGCATGGTGTCCCGGAGGTCTTACGATTGCTACTCCGGACTGACACTCCCCGTTCAAAACCACGTCCACTACTTGCAAGAGGGACCCGGCAGACATGCAGGCACTTGGCCATGTTTCTTTATGGAGATAAATGGAAATGTAACCAGCGGCTTCTTCCTCTAATTCCTTACGTTTCATTGTCGCCGTATTTTTGATACGGTCGATGTAATCTTTCGAATGAACCAAAGATAGTTCTTCCATCGTTGCGTTTCTTCCCTTTGGAGAGAAGAGAGCGAGAGAAATTGTAAGGCATGTTCTACTCTTATTCCGCGCACGTTAATTATCGGATGAAAAATTGAATCTATATTAAATCAAGTAACGTCCATGTATCATCTTACGTGTAATAAGTGGCACCGTTCTAGCAAACCATGCTCCTCGTGATTCCTGTAGATGCTGGAGATACGAGTTGGCATTTCCGGATGAGAACTGTCAGAAATATTGCAGTGCTTTAGCATCCTTTCGTCGTAGACGATGCATACCTTATGCGGTGCTTTGTATAAATTAGTAACTGCAAAAAGGCTCGATTTTAATTTTAATAAGAATCTTTATAAATTAATTAATAAAGCTTTTGATAACATCCAAATAATAAAATTCTTTCAAAACATATATATCCTCTTTAAAAAAATATATATATATAATTTTGTAAATAAATTATCTTATATTGTAAAGTGTTTGTTATACTCGTACAACACAGGGTAACCTGTTAAAATCTTCCTTCCTGATTTTCTTCAGGCTAAACAACTTACATTGTATTAATTCGTTCAGTTTCTTATCCAGTGCTTCGAAAATTTCTTTGTTTAATTTAGGGTAGCAATTTCGAGTCTCGTACTTTTCCGGTTTAGTCGGACTGCCCCTGCCAAACATTAATTTCCTTAAATTATATTAATCGATTACATTAATAGAACGTTATTATTAATTATATGATAGCTTTTACTTGTATGTAACTGTAACTACATGTTGATTAGCAATCTCCTCTTTGTTGTGGGTCACGGTGTTAATGCTATGTGAGTCTTGATACTGATAACAGTTCCAGTACTGTCGGTGTGCGTAGATTACATTCAAAATGGTATCTCGTATACTGAAATAACAAACAATTCCGCAAAGATATAAATTATTCTGCATCGGTTAAATATTATACGATGAATTTCTGTCATCACAATTACCTCAATGAGGGTAACTCGAGCGTTTGGAGAACAGGACATGGGTCACCCAACAAAGTCCTTAAAGTCAGTGCTGCTCCTTCAGCTAAAGATTTCAAACAATAACCACCCTAAAAAATTTTAATCATGCATAATTAATGATATAAACATATACTAAACACAAAAAAAGGTACAAAATATTTATTTACAGAGTAAATTTTTTCTTTTACATACCTCCAAAACGACGGCGACTTTTCCAGCTGCCAGACTTAATAATGATGAAAGTAGATGCGAATAACACGCAGGAGTCACTAACATCTCACCCTACGTTAATTAATGCACAATAAATTAATTTTTCTTTTTAATTGTATTAAATTATATTTAATTGCTTGGTTGCATAAATTATTAATAATTATATGTTTTATTGATTATATTAAAGACTTAATATATAATAAAAAACAAATAATATCGTTTATTTAATACAGATATTTAAAAGAAATTTAAAAAATACGTAATCTTTGTGCATTAATATAAAAATTATGTTAAATACTTTACCTTGTTAGTAAAGAATACGTACAATCATAAAACAAATAATTATGTAAAAATCGACAGAGAGACACATGTTGAGGAATAAAGTATCTTAACCTTGTTATCACCAATCGCGGCATCGAAACCAGCGGAAATAATGACCAGGTCTGGACAAAACTGAGGAGAAAAAAAAAGGAGAGAAGAATAATTAGAAAAATGCGCAAATTTACCTCTGGACAACCGAGAGCAGCGTCGTAACCAGCTGACACTATTACCAGATCCGGTTGAAACTACAATAATTTTAACATCTCTAAACATTAAAAGCCTCGGATAATTTGGCATAAAATTACATTAGTTGCAAAATTGGAATATACATTAACGGGAAAGTTACAATTTAATTATTAATAGATCAGAACTTAATACATAATATTCAATTCACTAATACTAAATAATATTAGATTACATACTTCATAAGCCATTGGTAGTAAAACTTGCTGAAAAATGGCGATATAATCAGCGTTTGTCATGCCAGTTTTGTTCAGAGGTATATTGAAATTGTAACCCTCTCCGAGATCTTCTCCGATATTATGAAAATCAGATTCCCTTAGATTGGGCCAAAATTCACCATATTCATAACGATGTATCGAAAAATAGACTACACTATAAAAGAATTGAAAAACACTTTTAGGAAATTGCACTATTACAAAAATAACTTAATATTAATTTAACATAAAAGACTTGAAAAACTCAAAGACAAAAAGATATATACCGTGGGTCATTGTAAAACATTTGTTGTGTCGCTTGTCCGTGATGAACATCCCAGTCGACAATTAAAATTCTACTCGCCCAATTTGAAGACAGAGCTTTCTCTGCTGCGAGTGCTACATTATTGAAGAAGCAGTAACCACAATACTCTGATTTCATCGCATGATGGCCTGGTGGTCTGAAAACATTTACAATAACATTACATATACGAGTATGTATGTCTTTCATTCAAAATATATTAAATAATGTAAAAATATGCATTTAAAGTTTATAATTAAATTACATTAAATTTCATATAAATCAGATCAACAAATATAGGAATATAAAGAAATATATATTTTCACGATATATATATCGTGAAAATCTTGAAATATTGTCAGCTTACCTGACAATAGCCATACCATTTTGCATTTTACCCTTGCAGATGCTTTCTACCAAATTAATTGTTGAGCCTGTAGCCAGTAAAGACAATTTATACGTAGACTGAAAATAAAAATTAAAGATTTTAATACAACATATAGAAATTGACCGATTATATAACTTATTACTCTATTATTTAAAATACAGATTTCTACACGTACTGGATGCACATAGATAGAGTCATATTTGGACGACAACAGTTCCAAGTTTTCAGAGTCTGTACAGCCATCTGTGGCTTTCAGAATATCAATATGCTTTTGACTATGTTTCATCAAAATCTCACTCTCTGTTGCCAGTCTTGCTTTGATGAGTTTACACCGTTGCACCAAACCTAATTCTTCACATCTCTGTAAGACTCGCGTAAACCTTGCTGGACATTCGGCATAATCTGGATCCCAAAGACATTCATGCTCTGTCATGCTCTGATCAAATACAAGACCAGTGTCCTTGCGCACTGTCTCATACGCATCAGTGGCTTTCTGATATATATCTCGTACAAAATTGTTATTTAATTTCTTTCCTAACAAAAGCTGTCGCTGTGCTGCTTCTCGTTTAGCAGCTAATAATGCTGGAGAAGGATGGACCTATAACACATTAAGATTGTTAATAAATTATATATGTAAATTTTAATCGTATATTATTTTAAATATTTACATTATTTATGATTTCAAGTTATATTTAATATAAAGAATAATTTTAGATAAAGAATTTAGATGCAACGTAATAAACAAATATACCAAGTATATAAAGTAACGAATTAAAATTTCTGACAAAAAGGAATATATTGCATATAAAATAGCACAATATTGTAAATCATCAATAAACTCACATTCTCTGATTTCCCAGGCTTTTTCATTTTCTTTCCATTAGCAGGCATATTGCCAGCAGTTCTTTGATTCTGGTACTTACTAGAGTTTCCAATTACTTTTATTAACTCAACCTCGCTATCTGCTAAATGTTTGGCAGCAGCAAATAAACCAGCCTTCTTTATATTTTCATCCTGTAAAATTATAATTTTTAACATTTAGTTTTTTAACATTCATTATAAGTATAGTTATTTAGTTTTATCTAAAGTTATTTATCATTCTTATAACTATGCAAATTTTAAATTGTGCAATTAATGCAAATAAAAAATTTACTCTAAAAGTATAGATTATATAAGATAGACAAGTAATACGTTTTATATTTGTGTTCATGATTCTAAGCAGGAGAATATAAATTTGTTCCAACGTTGCAGTTCACTTTTACTGATTTCAAGAAAAAGACAGTATTTCAGATTATCTTTAGCCTAGAATACCAAATTTTACAGCAGCATAGCGTAAAACTTAATAAACATAATAAAGCAAGGTGTAGGTGGCAGACAAGCAACCATACCTTCTATAGATGTGACATGGCTTCCTGCGAGAGCATTATTAATTTGTCTGAGCAAATGGCGATAAGATGGATAAATACAGGCACGTACACATATACACAGAGAGAGGTTAATTATTCTTACCATTTATTTCGCTTAATGAGATTTAATGGACGTTGTTATCATCCACTTTAGATAAACATTGATGCGTCAAACGACTCAGATTATTCACTTTGATGTAATTTTCTTGTTTAGGAAAATTGAGAAGTCACAATAACCAGAAAATCAAGCACTTTAACTCACTCACATTGCATTACTCTATTGTTTCTGCATGTTGTTTGTCTACTATTATTATTGTCGTATACAAGTATATGTTTTCTCACTTCAACTTATTGCACTAGAAGATTTCGAAGATCGTTACTTTCTCGTACGGAGACAAGATGGCAATTTTCGATATATCACACCTATCGTTCCCGAATCGAGTCAGCAAATCGAAAACGCCATTATTCCCTTCACATTCGACTGTGTGATTAGTCAATTTCTTAAGGCTTGAGGCTTAAAATACTTATTGTGGACTGACATTAAAAGAGAACACAGCCTATTGGCGTTTTCAATTCGCTGACCTGACTCGGACAGCGTTCCGATAATCTTTTCAGCGCTGTCATCTATAGTCCAAGTTACGTATTACTGTAGTTTGCAATACCGTAGCGATCAGCGGAACGCTGCCGGAATCGATCGAGTTAGCAAATCGAAAACGTTATGTAAACGTTTATGTCCTTTCTAAAGTGGGAGTTTGGACCCGATGGTGGTGACAGCTGTCATAAAGACGATATATTTGCGAGTTGACCCATTTACACGTAAACAATTGTTTTAGCGGTGATCGTCGCTAACAAGCAACTCCCGCTGACGAAGCCGTTTCTCATCTCGTCTCGCACGATCGCTGTTCAATTCGCCGATCGTATATTTTCGACGTTTCGAACGACAACACACACTGTAAAGGATGACAATGGGCGATGAGACTCCAGTTGTATCACTGGTTCTTCCTGTCATATTAAGACCGATACTAACCAAGGTAATATATATCATCCGTTTAAACTGTCTTGAGCTGATGTTTTATCTTTGCGAAATATCTTAAATCATAAAACATTTCCTCATATCGTGGGTGAATGACTATATTTTTCGAGTAAGATAACATAAAATACTGGGGGAATTTTGGTTCATAATTATTTTTTAGCATATTAGTTGTATCTTGCATTTTTTTCTTCGACGAAGGTTTTTTTTCTTGAAAATGTGGTTGAGGCGTTTGATCGTAATATGAAAAATTTCTACAGCTGGAAAGGCAGAATGTAATGGCTGCACAAACTCTGCGCACAGCCCTTTCAAAAGCAGAGAGCTCGCATCCTGGGATTACGCATGATTTAATTTTGGGCATAATACGCAGAGCAGAGCTTAATCTTGATATGAATGAGAGTGTCTTACGGTTGCAAGGTGCTGCTTCTGATTACGATGGTAAGCCATGCATATATATATATATATATATGAATTATATATTTCATATTTATATGTTGCTAAAGAAAAATATATACTAAAATGGTTTTAGTTTAGACAACTTTTCTTATTTCTTTGCCTCGGATGTATTAATACATATTCCTTTACTTAAAATTGTAGTTGTGGAATATCGTTCAGCTCGTTCAGAAGATGCATTTCAAGAATTGAATCGTAAATCAACTTCCTTAAAAAGAATTCTCAGCAGGATTCCCGACGAGATCACTGATAGAAAGACTTTTCTGGAGACAATCAAGTTTGTTTAAATTACTGATATTCCTTTGCAATTAATTTCATGCATAAAAGAGAATTTGCGAATTGACCTTTTTTGCTATATTTAGATTAACACTAGGAAAATGTTTTCGAATAAAGATTTCAAATAATATTTTAATTTGAATTATCTCTTTCAGAGAAATTGCAAGTGCGATAAAGAAACTATTAGATGCTGTAAATGAAGTTACCGCATTTATACCTGGTTCAGCTGGCAAACAAGCCTTGGATCAACGTAAGAGAGAATTTGTGAAGTACAGCAAAAGGTTCAGCAATACATTAAAAGAATATTTCAAGGAAGGACAGTAAGTAAACAATCCAAGAATAGCGATTGGTTTTATGTACTAAACAAAATCAATAACAAATTGAAAATTATTATTCAAATATTTATCACAATATAATGCGTTATATATATTTTGCAGAGCAAATGCGGTATTTGTGAGCGCATTATACCTAATACATCAGACAAACATGATTATGCTCACAGTAAAGGATAAATGTGAGTAAAAAAACAATATTACAATGAATTCTCAGAAGTTATATGCGATAATATCTCTCACACAGAAGTAGGATTGTATTAATATTACAACTTGTCCAACATATCCTAATCTTATATATTCTATTATACAGACAATATGTGTGTGTGTAGTAGAATAAAAATTTTCAATGTGAAGAATTTGATATCATAACATGTATTCTCATGTTAATTGTTTTTATTATAGTTTTTATTGTGCATAAATAATATCGTGGCATATATTAATACAATAAATATGTATTTAT